AAAAGAAAAGAGAAAGGACTCAAATAAAATCACAAACGAGAGAGAACGAACAACCAATACCACAGAAGTACAGTTATAACAGAATATTATGAAAAACTATATGCCAGCAAATTGGACAACCTGGAAGAAATGGATGAATTCCTAGATATAAACTACCAAAACCGAAACAGAAGAAATAGAAAACCTGAACAGACCAATAACCAGCAAAAAAAAAAATTGAATCAGTAATCAAAAACTCTCAACAAACAAAATCCAGGACCAGCTGGCTTCTTCTACTGAACATTTAAAGAAGAGTTAATATCTATTCTTCTCAAACTATTCCAAAAAATAGAAAAGGAAGGAAAACTTCCAAACTCATTCTGTGAGGCCAGCATTACCCTGATACCCAAACCAGATAAAGACTCCACTAAAAGAGAGAACTATAGGCCAATATCACTGATGAACATGGATGCCAAAATTCTCAGTAAAATACTAGCAAACTGAGTCCAACAATACATAAAAAAAAATCATTCACCACAATCAAGTGGGATTTATTCCTGGGATGCAAGGGTGGTTCCATATTCGCAGATCAATGTAATACACTGCATTAATAAAAGAAAGGGTAAGAACTATATGATCCTCTCAATAGATGCAGAAAAAGCATTTGACAAAGTACCAACATCCATTCATGATAAAAAAAAAAAAAAACCTCAACAAAGTAGGGATAGAGGGAACACACTTCAGCATAATAAAGGCCATATATGAAAAATCCACAGTTTAATACCATCCTCAATGGAGAAAAACAGAGCTTTCCCTCTATGGTCAGAAACAAGACAGGGATGTCCACTCTCACCACTGTTATTTAACATAGTACTGGAAGTCCTAGCCTCAGCAACCAGACAACAAAAAGAACTAAAAGACATCCACATTGGCAAGGAATAAGTCAAACTTTCACTATTTGCAGATGACATGGTACTCTATATAGAAAACCCGAAACTTCACCAAAAATTGCTAGAACTGATAAACAAATTGAGTAATGTTGCAGGATACAAAAGCAACATACAGAAATCTATTGCATTTCTATACACCAATAATGAAGCAGCAGAAAGAGAAATTAAGGAATTGATCCCATTTACAATTGCATGAAAAACCATAAGATACTAGGAATAAATCTAACCAAAGAGGCAAAAGACATGTACTCTGAAAACTATAAAACACTGATGAAAGAAACTGAAGATGACAAAAAGAAATGGAAAGACATTCCCTGCTTATGGATTGGAAGAACAAATATTATTAAAATGTCTATACTTCCCAAAGCACTCTACACATTTAATGCAATGCCTATCAAAATACCAATAGTATTTTTCACAGAACAAGAACAGACAATCCTAAAATGTGTATGGAACCACAAAAGATCCTGAACAGCCAAAGCAATCTTGAAAAAGAAAAGAAAAGCTGGAGGTATCACAATTCTGGACCTCAAGTTATATTGCACAGCTGTAGTGATCAAAACAATATGGTACTGGCACAAAAAATAGACACATAGATCAATGGAACAGAATGGAAAACCCAGAAACGAACCCACAAGTGTATGGTCAATTAATCTTTGACAAAGCAGGAAAGAATGAATGAATAGTCTTCAACAACATGCAACTATATGGATGAACCTCACACCACATTGTAGAATGAAAGAAAGCTTGCATATATGGATATACACAGTATGATTCCATTTATATAAAGTTTTTAAAACAATTCGGCATTGTGAGAAATCAGGATGGTGGTTGCACATGTGGGAAGGGATAGTGATTGAAAGAGGGCACAAAGAGGGCTCTGGATTCATGTGTGTGTTCAGCAAACTTCGTACTTATGAAATTGTACCAAAAAATGCATTTTTGTGTTTGGAGACTAAGTTTAAAACAGCTGATATATATCTGACAAAAACATAAAATATATATAAAAATATGCTACAGATCTACTTCTTATCCAGATTCTACTGATTCTGCCTGTGTCTTACAGCAGCATTCCCTAATTTCTGTCCTACACACTCATCCGTGCATAAATGGGTACACATTTGACTGGTGAACTTGAATATTCAAGCTCAGTGGGTTATATCAATCTCAGTATCTTGGTTGAAATTGTACTATAGTTACTATTATAAGAAACTGAGTAAGTAGACAAGGGATCTCGCTATATTATTTCTTGCAATTGTATGTGAATCCACAATTACCTTGATAAAAAAATTTCAATATAAAAGAGGGAGTGCTGAATAAACACAACATTAAATTTCCAAAAGTGAGACCCTATCCCAAGTGAACTGTATCATAATGTTTGGGGTTGCTGGAAGCCTGGATTTTTAGCATGTGTTCCAGGAAATTTATGATAAGGCAAGACTGGGAAATACTGTGTAATAACTGGCTGGCTCTTTAACACTGTCTCAATCCAGGACACTGTGGTCACAAGCTTCTGGATTAAATTTGTCATAATGGTTTTTAGGTGGTCTTGTTTCACTATAATAAAAGAAATCAGTGTTTGTTGGTTCTGTTTTAAATCTACCTACAATAAAACGAATGAAATACTTGGGAATAGATTTAACGAAAGAAGTACAAGATGTGTACACAAAAACTGCACAACATCATTGAAAGGAATTAAGGACCTAAATAAATGGAAAGAAATCCCATGTATCTGGGTTGTTAAAATGGCAATACTCCCAAATTGATCAAGCTGTTCAACACAATTCCTATCAAAATCTTAGCTGCCTTTGTGGACAGAGATTGACAAGCTGATTCCAAGATGCATATGGAAATGTAAGGGACCCAAAAAAGCCAAAACTATCTTGAAAAGTAAGAACAAAGTAGGAGGACTCACGCATCCTGACTTCGAAACTTACTACAAAGTTACAGCAATCAAGATGGTGTGGTATTGGCATAGAGATCAATGGAATGACATTTAGAATCTAGACATAAACCCTTACATTTATGGTCAGTTAATTTTCAACAAAATAATTCAATGTAGAAAAAAAAATAGTCTTTTCAACAAATAGACCTGGAATAGCTTGATAATCACATACAAAAGAATGAAGTTGGACCCCCTACACCTTTTAGCATACACAAAAATTAAGTGAATTATATACCTAAATATGAGAGCTAAAACTGTATAACTCTTAGAAGAAAACATAGATGTAAATCTTAATTACTTTGGATTAGGTAATAATTTTCTAGATGTGACATCAGAGCTCAAGCAACCAAAGAAAAAATAGGTAAATTAGCCTCATTGACAGTTAAAATTTTGTTCTTCAAAGGACACTAAAATAAAAAAGACAAGTTTTGACAAATGTAGAAATTGGAACACTTATACCTTGCTAGTGGTATTGTAAAATAGTGTGCTTTAGAAAACAGTTTGGCACTTCCTCAAAAAGTTAAATATAGAGTTACAATATGACCCAGCAATTCCACTCCTAGATATATACCCACAAGAATTAAAAACATGTTCACACAGAAACTGATACACAAACATTCACAGCAGCATTATTCATAATACACAAAATAGGGAAAGAACTAAAATATCCATCTGCTGATGAGTGGATAAACAAAATATGATCTATCCATACAATGGAACACTACTCAGTCATAAAAAGGAGTGAAGTACTAACACATGCTATAACATAGATGAACCCTGAAAACATTATACTAAGTGAAATAAGCCAATCAAAAAAGACCGCGGAATGTTTGCTTTCATTCTATGAAATGTCCAGAACAGGTGAATTCTTAGGGACAGAAAGTGGATGAGTTGTTGCCAGATGATGGGGGAGGGGAAAACGGGAGGTGACTGCTAATGGGTATAGAGTTTCTTTTTGTGGCGAGGAACATGTTCTAAAATTAGATAGTGGTGATGATTGTATGACTCAGTGAATATATTAAAAACCAAAACATGAGCTAACTTTTACAGTGTATGAATTATTTCTCAATAAAAAAAATTGTAAACCAACCTAGAGTTCCCTAGTACAAGTTGTTTATATTATTACCATTTTCAAAATCAGATCCTTGATGCTAATCTAAAATGGTACAAGAGCAAACCCTCTGCACATCAGAGTGTTACCCAGAACAACCATGCATTTGACTCTTGACCAAAGGAAATTTTGCTTTTTCCACATATTTGCCTGGAGAATACTAGTGATGAATTGATATTGTGAAATGCCAAATTGGTAATAGGGACTGTTCCAGGAAAATGCACCCATTTCTCAAATCACATCTGTAGACTATTAAGTTAATTGACTGTGTGATTTGATGGAATGAATACTGGACTAGACCCCATCTCTTACTATGTGATCCTGCACTTGTCAATTATCTTTCCGCATTTGTTTTCCTATCTGTCCAGTAGAATATCAATACCTGCCCAATACATTTAGAAGATTTTCAAGAGAATACAATGAATGCAAGATGTGAAATTGTTTTGAAATTGACAGCACTAAAAACTATGAGACATTATTTAACATCCTTCATTTTTCTTCTCCAGATTTGATTTTCAAAGGGGAAACATAAGGTGCTAAGTTAAACGGTTCCTTTTGGATGTTGATTGAGAGGGTCTGGCTCTCTTCTTGAGGAAGAATATTTCATGGACTCAAACACTTTGGCTTGTGTGACATTAACACAGAGAATTTTATAGAAAGCTGTTATAATTTTTTTTAATGTATCATTCTGACAGCCTGAGAACGATATAGCAGCCGACAGGTTATTGTCAATTAAACATGAGCTGTCAGAAAGTCAGAAATGTTGAAATATGGTGAGCATGAATCCTAAACAGATCATATGGCCACTGCTCAGCTGTTATTTTAACAGAGTCACTGTACGTACGTGTCATTTTCCTGCAGAATTTAATTTGAGTTCCTCACAACGCAGACATATTTGCATTTGCATGTTGCTGTCAAGTCAAACTTGGACCTTCTAAATGAGCTAGAATGGTGGGTGGTAGTGGGCAGGTCACATGTGGAGGAGAGGACTCACATCTGGCTTGTTTCCACTCAGGTTACATTGAAGAGGCTTGCATCATTCCCTGTCCCTCTGACTGCAAGCTCAGCGAGTGGTCCAACTGGTCTCGCTGCAGTAAGTCCTGTGGGAGTGGCGTCAAGGTTCGGTCTAAATGGTTGCGTGAAAAACCCTATAATGGAGGGAGGCCTTGCCCCAAACTGGACCATGTCAACCAGGTATTTTCTACCATTGATTCTAATACTGAGAATATTAACATGTTATTTAGATTCACAATGATCTATTTTTTTTCCTCCAAAATGGAGAAGAATAAACAATAGCCCTGAATAAGAAATTTGACCTATTTTATCCTTAGAATGCCTGAGTAAATATATGTGTGTTCTTATAATCCCAAATCAGATACATTATCTTTGCATTAGGAGATTTAGTACCTTGCATGTATATGCATATGAAAAATGGAAATGGAAATTAAAATGACACCTACCTTTAAAATAATATCATAAAATTGTATCTAGCTGTGTGCTGAGAGCAAGACTCTCATTATTATAGTTCCCCTAGACTCTCAGAAAAGACATCTCAATTACCAACTACTTAAAATGAAAGAGAGTATTTGGATTTGGATCTAAAACTAGGAGATCTCTCTCTCTCCCCCTCTCCCCCCTCCCTCCCTCCCCCTCCCTCCCTCCCATCCTACTCCCTCTCTAAAAAGAAGGTTGGGGGGGTCCTCCTGAGTGGCTCAGTTGGTTGAATGTCTTTGTATCAGCTCAGGTCAGGATCTCAGGGTTGTGAGATTGAGCTCCTCCTCTGGCTTGTGCTGGGTGTGGAGACGGCTTAAGATTCTCTCTCCCTCTCTCTCTGCCCCTCATACTCTCTCTCTCCATCCCTCTCTAAAAAAATCAAAAAATATGGGGCGCCTGGGTGGCTCAGTTGGTTAAGCGACTGCCTTCGGCTCAGGTCATGATCCTGGAGTCCCAGGATCGAGTCCCGCATCAGGCTACCTGCTCAGCAGGGAGTCTGCTTCTCCCTCTCCCACTCCCCCCTCTTGTGCTCTCTCTCTCTCTCTCACTCTCTCTCTCTCAAATAAATAAATAAAATCTTTAAAAAAATCAAAAAATAAAACTAGGAAATATGAATTTTGTCATTTAAATTTGTTTGATACAAAATATGTTAAAAAAGATATAAAGATGACTTCAAAGTCAGTGTAACTATGTTCTCTACCAATTTAGTCTTTGACCTTTTGAATTTTATTTGGAACCTTATTTGATTTTTGTATGTTCATTTCATTAGCTGCTGTTAATAGTTGTTACTTGTGTTCTATTGGAGATATAAAATAAAAAGACTGATAGAGGGAATTGTGACTAATTCAAATGTAATATAAGATATAGGCAATTATTATCATGTTTGACCTACATGTGAATTAACAAAGAATAAACTTAATATAGTATGTGTAGATGTTAAGATATGTATTTATAGTGTCACAATCAAATGAGCCAAATCATATATATGAACCAACTTTAAATATGCAGATAGGTTTCATGCACACATAGATTAATTTTAATCTCCAAACACACTGCTTACCAGTACACATACTTTACTTCCCACATTAACTTAAATTGTTAATGATAATAAAGATATACTGTAGGGTGCTCCCCTCCACCTGCTAAATGGGATGCCGCCGAATTCATGAATCACATGGGAAAGCCAATTAGATCTTCAAAAATAATAAGGTAAAATAAAGGTACAGTCTAGAGAAAATAAAAATAAATTTTGAATAAAGAAATTAAGGACAAAGAAAGTGGAGAATTAAATGCCGTAGGAAGTACTACTCTGAAAAAATCTTGATTTTTTTTTTTCCGAGTGAAGTTGCTGAATGTGCCCTCCAAGGCAACCATCGGTGACTAATAAGCAGTACTGCTGCCATCTACTGGTCAATGAGTTTTCCTGCCAGAGTGAATATTTGCAAAGAAGAAAATTCAGTTAACATAACCCTAATTAAACACAATAACTGCAATGTAAGCTTTATAATGCAAAGGAATATTCTTCTACAAATTTCAAAATCTTAAATATCCATAGGTAAACTTAACTTATAATAACTTCTGCTCCCTGGTCCTAATAAAGAGAAATTCTACATAAATGTATAGGCTCAGTGTGTGTGTGTGTGTGTGTGTGTGTGTGTACGTACAGCCAATGAACCTTTCAATGAAAATAAGCTGTGTTTGCCTCAGCGTTTTTTTACTAGCGAATTTTCAAAGGTTCAGGACCTTCTGCCAAGTTGTTTTTGCTATGAAAAGTCTTTTACCTAAGCCATTTTTCTGTCACTCTCCAACTCTTTTAAAATTTAATGCAGAGTTTGATGGGGACATTTAGGTACTTGTTAATCATCTTACTGGTGGTATATTAAGTTATTAACAACTAAAAATTAAAGCTAAAACAAGAAATGGTAGATTCCTGACTCTGAATACAGATGTTCTGCATTTAAAAATAGAAATTTCTAGGACCTTATCAGTAAAATATTAGGAAAGAACATACAAAGGTTTGTGTTAACTTTGAAAATTGTAAATCACATGGATTTTTTTTATCACAATTATATATTCCTCAATAACACAATCAGTGGTCCATTCACTTGGTAATGGTCTTTGAAGTACCATTTTCTGATTGAGGAAGCAAATTCTCATCCCAAGAAATGTAGGTGGATGGATGGATTAAAATCAATAGATTAATCAATCAATCTATGGATAGATTTCACTCACAATTTATCTATCCCCCAAGATATATGTATTTTAAGGTCTACTCAGTTTTTTAAGATTTCTTCATCCTGCCCATCTAATCTTTTCTTTGGCTGTGTTGTTTATAATACTCCTTTGTATATCTTCACTTTAAACAATAATGAGTTGCTTTTTCTCTCCCAAGGCTTAATGAAGATATTGTAATCATTTACCAAAAAAAAAAAAAAAAAAAAAAAGTTGGCTTTTATGTGTAGGTAAAATAATATTTTAACTTAGAACATGAATTTTTTCATCCAGTATACTGACGTTTTTCCTTATCTTTTTCCTCTCCCTTTTCTTCATTCCTGTTGAACACTACACCAGGCCCAGGTAAGAACTTCTAAACCTCCTGGTTCATGGAAAAATACTGCTTGCTTTCTTTTTCACTCCCGACTTCAGAGAATGTATTTCTTTTCCTGCTATTGTCTTTTATCTTTTACAGGGAGAAAATGCCTCATTTTCCATAGAATTTTTGTTCTGCAGCTGTTTCCCCCCACCCACCCCCGCCCCAGCATGCTACCTGTGTTTTCTCACTTCAGTATCAGGGCTGAGGTGCAGGGGTGGGGAGAACAAGCTTCACTTCACCAGCCTTGAAAAGGCAGTGACATCTCTTGTTAATGCTGTCATGCTTCTCGGGGGGGAGAGGTAAAGGTGCAGGTGGGCTGAAGGTGGGTGGCAGGAAGTTGCTCTGAACTGATTTGTATTCAGTCCAGTGTAGGAGATTAGAATGAAAGCCATTGAAAGATTAGGGAAAATGGCATTTCTCCTTCAGTTTTTCCCTTCCGCACAAGTTGTAGGGTAATGTTTTACTCTGTAGTACTTAGTACGATTTTAATGCAGTACCCAATGTGGAGGTGATAATTTATAACAATAATGATAGGTTCTTATTCCAACAGTGCATAGTCTTTATTCTTACTATTCCATTCTTACTTCTTGAATAGGTCAACTTTATTTACTCACTAAAATTTGCACAAAATAGCTCCAAAGGGCTATTTATATCTATATTTTCTGGAATTATATAGTTACACAAAACATACATATACTAGTGTGTGTTGTGTGTGAAATAGGCAATAATGTTGAATTACCATAGATTTTGAAATTATTTTAAAAGACATTTTTCTTTAATGGTTGAGTCAGCTGTGTTGCAGTGGATTACAGTTTATTTCCTTGGCTTAGTCATTCTTCTCACTGAGAAAAAAGCATAATTGGTTCATTGTTCTAAAATCCTGAAACCAAACACACCAGCCTAACTGTGGGGCTTTCAGGCTTTGTGGACAGGAGCAAGACAATTGGCTTTGTGTCATGTGGACCCTCCCTGCTTTGGGCTGTAACTGGGTAATACGAGGCCAATTTCAGACCTTGTTTCCAAGCCCTAAATGCTTAAGGGTTAGTTTTAAAATGGTTTTATTTCTTATTATTTATCGTTTAATTTAGTTGCACATACAGAATGCAAAAAATATGTAAATTCTTATTGCTATGTACATTCGTTTGGAAAACAGGCCAAGTTATATTCCTTTGAAAACAGCTACTTTTATATGCTTATTTAATTCATTCATTCATTTATTCATTCATTCATCTATTCAACAAATCTCTATAGAATGCCTAACATAGGAGCACTCTGGCCTAAGTGTTGAAGACCCACAACACCGTGAACAAGCAGATGGCCCATGAAATTACAATACTGTGCAGTGGGGGGCAGTACGGGGCAGTGTGTGGGGTATCCCCGGTGCTTCGTCAGGTCACATGTGCAACTGTAATGTGATAGATGATCAAGGATCAAGAGAATACAACACAGCTAGCCCTGCCCATTACTGCTGGAATTCCCAAGAGGTTTTCCATAGTCCTGTCTTAGAATAATGAGCCTGTCGTAAAGGAGAGGAATGAAAACAGCTAAACAGGAATACAGTGTTCGTCGTGGAGGTGAAGGGCTCCCAGTTGCGCCCATCGGGTTCCCTGCAGAGAAATCCCTGAGAACTGTGTGTGTTTCAGGTGTATGAGGTGGTCCCTTGCCACAGTGACTGCAGCCAGTATATATGGGTCCCAGAGCCGTGGAGCATCTGCAAAGTGACCTTTGTCAACATGCGGGATAACTGTGGAGAAGGCGTGCAGACCCGAAAAGTGAGGTACGGCCCTTACTCCTCCCCAGTTTACTGCATCCGACTGTCTTCAGCTTTATTTCTAGGGAATCTGCGTTCGTGGAATGCTCCAAGGGGATCTGCTCCAAGCAGCAGGTTGTTACACGGGGCCTCTGACTGGAAGCCTCACTTCAAGGTGCTCCTGAAAAGAAAGAGCCACATATTGAATGCAAGCTGAACTAATTCAGTTTTTCCAACCCCAATGACTTTGTTCTTAAAAGCCAAAAATATTTCCGACTGCTTTTTAGTGATAAACTGTTGTAAACTCTTGCTCCTTTGTATCCTCAAACTGGCAAACTTGTGACTACTCTCAACTCCTCCAGGAAGCCTTCCCTAATACCTAGTGCTGCTCATTTGTTCTGTGGGCGCACTGCCCAGTAGGGTAACCACTAGCCACGTGGGGCTATTTCATTTTAAATTTAAACTAAAGTTAAATTAAAAATACAGTTCCTCAGCCACACTAGACACATTTCAAGTGTTCCGTAGCCAGAGGTGGCTAATTCTGTCAGACACCAGAGGTATAGAGCTTCTCCATCAGCACAGAAAGTTCTGTTGAGCAGTGTTGCTCCATAGTACCCCATGTACCCCTCATTGTTTTGGAAAGATCCATTTACTGTCTGTCATTTTTGTTAAACTCTATAGCTTTCTCCAAACCGAGACCCTGTCATAGTCATAGAAATTCCCTAACACCTAATACAGTTTGGATACTCATTAAATTTTCCCTGCGGTATCTGCATATGGCTCTTAAGGGTTCTGGAACCCTACGAAACAAGTGTATGAGGTTTTATTATCTCCACTTCATAGAATAGATTCAGAAGTACTAAGTAATTTACCAAGAGCACCCATCTAGTAAAGCAACAGATTTGTCACTCTTTATACCAGTTTCTTCTAACCCTGCTGAGTGACACACAGTTAAGACAAATGTCAAAACATCCAAAACTCGACAGTTCATGTTGTGGACAAGCTCTGACCTAACTTTCCATGAATTTAAGATTTGTATTTCTCAATAGAAAAGTAGAGCGAATTAACATTTGTATTGTAAAACTTTGGCACAATCTGTATAACTTTGTTTCCAATAAAAATAATCTCTATTTCTTTTTTCACAAGCCCTCTGAACTCTCAAGCTATTTTTCTGAGGAACTTAATAAAGGTGGATGAGGGGTCAGAAGGTAATAAGTTGGTAGGGAAATATAAGGAAAAGACAGAGATTCCATTTTCCACCCTTCCCTTCCAAATTTAAATTTTCTCCTTCAAATTTAAAAATATTTTCCCCATAAAAAGATTTTGATCAATTTGGTTTTTTGTAAGAAAAATTATAATAAAGAACTGTTCTTTTAGCTTTCCCTTCAATGATCTTTGTAGATGTTGCTTTTTCTTGCTTTATAAATAGATACTCTCAACATTTCCTGCTACATCTTAAGCAAAGTAACTTTTGAGATCAATTTATTTTTTCAGTAAACATCTTTAATGTCAATAGAGAAAAGAGAAGGTCAGTATCGATTGTGATCTCTGATCATGTAATAATGTTCCTATTTGTTACAGGTTGAGTAGTAAACTTTTCTAACCTTATCCTCTGCTAATTAAGGTCAAAATGTCCTGCTTATATGCAAGCATTGGATGACATTTCAGGATAGATGAGTCTATAAGAAAGCAGGTACCAATTTATCCAATGTCATTCTTTCTCTTTCAGGATGGTATGTACATCAAAGGCTGGTGGCAGAAGTGATTTTCCCTGGTGGGAAGGGATATTTTTCACAGACATTTTTTTTTTTTTTTAGAATTTCTAGCACCTGGTGATAATAAAAAAGAGATAATAAAAAGCAACAGATTTGGTTATTTTTACTGTCGCTTTTGAATTCTCTGCAGACAGTGTACCTCCTTATTGTCATACCTGTGGCTGGCCTCTGTCCCACCCTTTGCCTCCAGCTCGGTTCTGCACTATGTATTTCTAACACAGTTCAGTTTTCTCACAGCATAATTCCCTGTCCTATGGAAAGGAAAAAGGCCAAGAATTTAAAGAAAGCAAATGAACTTAAAGTGCCTTCCTTTGTGCTTAAAACTTGATCCAAATATTTATTCTGTTTTCTAGAGTAATTTTAAAAACTGATTAATACCAAATAAAGTAAATAAAACATAAATAATCTGAATGTCAACAATAAGGACATTTTTAACAGTTGCGGCACGTTGAAATGATGTCATTCAAATATAGTCATTAAAAATTATATCTTAGTTGGGGCGCCCAGGTGGTACAGTCTGTTAAGCATCTGACCCTTGGTTTCAGCTCTCAAGCTCCTGAAATCAAACCCCGCATTGGCTCTGTGCTGAGGGAAGAATTGGCTTGGGTTCTCTCTCTCTGCCCCTCACCCGCTCAAATAAAGAAATCTTTAAAAAAAATTATATCTTAGAAAAAATGTTAATGATATGAAGAGATGTTCATAATGTATTATTGATTTTTTAAACAGTACAAATAGTAGGTAAAATTTGCTCTATTTAATGAAGTAAAATATATGCTTACATAGAGATTCTATCTCAGTCAGAGATAGAATCATGTGACTTTTTTTGTTTCTTCTGATTTTCCTAAACTGAATAAATTAGCTGTATAATAAAGAATTAAAGGAGAAAAGCCTGTAAAAATGTGGTTTTATGTACATAACTACTTAATAGAGTATTGAACGTCTGTCTTTAACTCTGGATCAATAGGTAATTTTGCAAGTTAATCCTTGTACACTGTGTGAGTGCCTACCATGAATACAATCTTGCCTTAGCAGCAAACCCAACTTTTGAGCATTAAACCCTGTTCCAGGTCATCTCAAAGCTGCTCCATGTCCTCTCAAAGTTGCTGTCAACAGGATATTTTTAAAATGCCATCAAAGATAGAACTTTTTCCTGGAAAACTAAAATTCTCCCAAAGAAATTTATAATTTTTTCTTCAGCAATGAAATCAAATAAATATCTACCTGTGCATATTTTTGTGGTTGCTCTTTTCTATTTTTATCCAATACATGCCACACACAAAAAAAATGCAGAGGTAGGTATTCGTAGAGGTATTTTTTCAGACTACAAACCCAATTAAGGCATGACCAACAGCACAGTTTTCCCGTCATTAAATGTATCCCACAGGAAAACAACATTTCTCTTAAATTGGGCAGCACTGTAGAGAAAGGAATTCTGTAGAGTAGATTTGTGAAAATGCAATGTCCCCACTGATTGTAAATCCCTGGGAAAAGGTGAGATTCCAGGTATAACTGATAATGTAGTTTAACCGACAGTTTAAAACATTGCTATGGCTTTGAGAGGCTTAAGAACACAAGCCTGCCTTTTTAGCTCCAACAATGTACTCTCTTCCCAAACCCATTACTTTGGTAGACCTTCTCTGAGTTATAGATGAGGGATAAAGTTTTTCTCTTCCACTAGAAAAGTGCCTGGAGAGATTATTAACTACACTGAGAGTGAAGTCTGGTACTAGCCACGTTAATTAGATCCCCGAGAGATGAGTAAACAAGCCTTCCATGACTGCTTACAAAAGAATGAAACATAATAAGATGTTTGAATTTGTTCTGTTAGAAAGAAAACTAACAATAAAAAAAGGTCAAGATAGAGGAAGATTCAAACAACCACATTTAGAGCATTTGTGTTATTGCTACTATAATTGTGTTTTCACTTCTGGCTTTCTTTTAAGTTATCAGCATACAGGAGGCTAAAATTACTTTTTAAATGACAAAATAACTTGATAAATGCCATCAGTTACTTTTGAAAATACTTAATGAAACCTCTCACTAAAAAAGTTCAGTGTGCCTCATCTTCCATCAGGTACGAATCTACTTTCTCTGTGGAATCTGCCATTTCCTTCTGAAGAAAAAAGTGCATTGTATTCCAAAATTCCAAAAATAAGTTCCTCAATGAATCTCTGTGGACCAGTCCTCATTAGTTGGTGCATCATATATGAGTGTAAAAGTCCCTCTTCTTTCAGAGGAAGACATACAGAGTTTATAAATCACATGGGCTATAATTTTAAAAGAGTATGATGATACAAGGAAGTGTACATTTTATATAATGCTGAAGCTCTGCAAGTATTTATGGGAGGCAGAGATCCTTTTATGTCTTCATGTTTGGAGAATTTTATTTATCAAATGCAAACCTTGCCACCTCCCAACCCCATAATGATGTCTTAGAAAGAACCATCTATGGAATGGGTTGGCCATTGTTCTAAGTGTCCTGGTTCCTTCACTGAATAGGTATGTTTTCTTCTAGATGCATGCAGAACACAGCGGATGGTCCTTCTGACCATGTAGAAGATTACCTCTGTGATCCAGAAGAGATGCCCCTGGGCTCTAGAGAGTGCAAATTACCGTGTCCCGAGGATTGCGTGATATCTGAATGGGGTCCGTGGACCCGATGCACTTTGGTGAGATGATTAACCATTTATCAAGAGCGTTTACTTAATTCCTTACCACTAAAGCCTAAAGCTTTAATGCTCTAATTGCTAAATTAGTTACCAAATTAGTTACCAAGGCAAGGGTGTTTTCTTGGCTACCTCATTCTGTGACTGTGCCATTTAAAGTCGGCTGTGTTTTGGCGCACGCTAGAACAGCTCAACCTCTTGCAAGCTTTATGCTCCTCCATCCTCCTCCTGGACCCGCACAAAATGCCTTCAGATTGGCTTATAAATACACAGCATGTTAAAAACTGCACTGGTGATAATGAATCCCTCCAGGTAAAGGGAAAAAGAATGAAGCTCTAGTAAAAGTACTTTAATGGTGTCGGGTTATTGTCATCCCTTGCTTTTTGCCCAATCCATATTATTTAAATTGTGGGAATAATCTTTCACACTGTGGGTATACTGCAGCCGGAGTATTAACACTAAAACGCAAAAGATCTGGCAAAAAAGGGAATCGAAAGAAGAAAGCTGTGTGTCAGTGAATCTCTTTCCACACACAGACTTTGTGTCTCTGTGGGCCTGCAAAGCCAGCTGAGAGTTTCAAATCACACAAAGCTTCTAGATTTCAACAGCCCGTAGGGGCTCTTCCGTGGGACCCTGGGAAGAGTCATTTGAAACAGAACATGCTGTTTAGGATTTAGGAAATTTGGCTTGGCCCGGGGAACCTTTGTAAAGCTGCACATTTCAAAATGGCATCAAAAAGCCCAGGAAGAATACATCCAATGTGGAATTGATTTGCTGAAATACAATATAAGACAGTTTCAAAGAATTTATGATGCATGTTTTCAAGGCGAAATTCATTTTCTATCTCAGTGTTAACATTATTAAAGGAGCTGATTAGCAGCCAACTGATAGAGCAGGAGCAAAATGGAGCTGCCAGTTGACTTGGATACAGGTTAAATAGCAACAGGGAATCAACTGTTTCACAAGGGTATGCAGATGATCTTTGTTCTAATTCTATAGCCTCGGATTTGAAGTTCCTGTTCTTAGAAACCAGATGTTTTCAGAACAAGACGGTGCCAGTAGCAGAATGGCAAGCTAGTCTTTTTCAACTGCTGAATTGTGTTCCTGTGCATGGGGATGTGCCCATTAGGAAAATCAAGGTCACTGAACGCTAGTTATTTAAAGTCACCCTTAAAATGGTTTTTCAGGTCCAAGAATCTAAATTCGATAGATTGATTGATTTTTAATTCTATATTAGTGATGCAGATCACTAATTATATATTAATATAATTACAGTTATCATTACTATCATTAATTCATAATGAATATATAGTTATATTAATTATAAATATAATTAATCACATAATATGATCAGATGCATGCATTTGCATATATGTGATGTGGTGTATCTATTAGTATTTGACACACGGACTCTTAAGCATCTTATAGCTAGATGGGACATCGGAAACTCATTTAACACCTCGATTTTATAGATGATGAAACTGAGGTGTAATGAGATTGTTCAAGTTAGCCAGTGGCCCCAACAGTCTCACTCCAGCTCCAATGCTCTCCCTAATATATTAGCTCTCGTGTGGCTGAGTATTCACCTTCCTGAGGAGCTGTATTTTTCTTTGTCAGCCTTGCAATCAAAGCAATTTCCGGCAAAGGTCAGCTGATCCCATCAGACAACCTGCTGATGAAGGAAGAGCCTGCCCTAATGCTGTTGAGAAGGAACCTTGTAACCTAAACAAAAACTGCTTCCACTATGATTATAATGTAACAGGTACGTGCATAGTCACCTCATCACCGAGACAAAAGCCAAATCCCATGTTTCAGCTCAGCAGCATTCCTGTAAGTACTGTTCATCTCCATCTATGTCCCTCTTGGACATGCTGCTTACTTTCCCAGAGATAATTCTTTATATAATGACAGAAATAGTTACCTGTTTTTAATAAACATTAAGATATAGAGAATGAAAGTATCACACAAACATTGAGTCCTTAAGGTAGATTGTGAATGGTCTAAGACATCCTCCCACTTTGGGAAGGTGCAAGTAAAAGATACATCTTTCCCATAATTATCAGGTTTAATGAAAGATAAACATCTTCAGAAAATGTTTAATTGCTGTGACATACCAGGACAATTCTTGGTGTGGGGGCAGTTTATAAGCACAATTAGTCTTATGTAAAAATGTTGGCAATTTTAAGCTACCAAAAAGTATATGAAGAAGATACTAATATTCCTGTATTATCAAAGGTACAGATGAAAAAGGGTAAGTGGGTTGTTGGTTTTTTCTGAAAAAAAGGTTTATTATGAATTCCATTTTTTTCCATAACTCTCATCTCCATACCATCAAGGCACATACTCTAGGAAAAAAGAGAATGTGTTAGTTTATATGATGCGGGGCAACCCCGAAGCTTATTTTGGAATTTTTCCCAAGTCATTCTCACACTAAAATAAACTCCAAACCTTATACAAAACACACAGCCATCAGATTGGCCTTTTGTTCCCTTAGGTTTTTCTCTTCAGTTTCCTTTGATGATACAAAGGAAGTCACAATTCTCCGGGACATGCTATGCTACCCTGGAGAGAAAGATGAAAGGATTATTTTGCAAAAGACATGAAATGAAAGAATTAAATAGATATGGCCAAAGTGATTTTGAAATAAATAAGTGTATATTTTAAAACATTCTAAGTATGGACAGTAAGTGAAATAGTATTTTATTTGAGTGTAATGACACAGTTAAAATGCCACCCGTTAAAAATTATGACTGTTTGGCTAAAATAAAAATAATGTTAAGTTTTAAATTTCTCCTTTTATTAGGAAAACAAATTTTTAAGTGACATTTGATCTGCAGGCCAAAGCCAGTTTCACGATATCAACAAATGGCTAGCTGTCAAGATGGTCAAGAAGACATCTGCCTCAAGAATAATCCCTGTAGCTATGTGCAACCCCAGCAAGTCCATTTGACTCTTGATATGTTCAAAGCCGGGACCCATATGTTCTGCATGTGGGATGATTGATTGTGCGGCTTAGGAAGCAGTTGTGAATTAAATATGGGATTCAGGTCATCAGAGTTTCATTTGAAATCTGTTTCCTACATAGCTTTCTGTTCTGATGGGCTCCCTTTCCTTTCAGACTGGAGTACGTGCCAGTTGAGTGAGAAGGCAGTTTGTGGAAATGGCATTAAAACAAGGATGTTGGATTGTGTTCGAAGTGACGGCAAGTCGGTTGACCTGAAATATTGTGAAGAGGTGAGGGGATACTGTGTTATATCTCTGCAAGTAAAGTCTTCCCTAATAATTTCGATTCATGCTGAGCCAAGTGACCTGTGCTCAATGCAGCTCATTGCCAACAGATGTTTTTCTGCACTATTCAGAGGCTGCTAAGCACCCTCTTGAAAAGAAACACTGTCCAACTACTGATTTCTACACATAATTTCCTGTGTTTTGTTCTGCTTGGAGCCCAAAGGTATGCTAATTAGCCTATTTTGAAAGAAATGCTTGGGGAACAGTAAGTAATCAAGGTGAATAAAGGCAATAAATCTTAATCAGACTACTCATCATCTTTTGTAATTTCATGTGAATTTTGTGTTGCCTGGGACACCTGCCAAGAGCCATCATTTATTCTTTCTGTTGCTAAACATTGATCACATGTGGTTTGGTAGCAGATTTTGATATTAGGATCTAATATCCAGCTGTGAGAGTCTAAGTACTCAGGTCTGGATGAGAGCTTGAAATTCAAACAAAGGAATGAAGTCTTCCATTATATCTTTGAGGTACAGAGAATTGTAACTATTCTCCAATTTATAAAAGTAATGTCATCATTTCTAAGTATGACCTTATGAAATGTGAGGAAACATAGTTGTTGGCTTTTTTTAGCTTTCATGAGGCTACACTTCATGTTGTAATGATTTTGTCTGACTTCCATACCAAATGGGTACTCACATTCCTGACAGGTTTTAACTCCTCCTGCATCTAAGCCCCACTGGGTTAAACATGAACCAAGATAAGCAGGAGCCTCCATAGATCTTGAACACATAGAGAGGAGCTTATGACCTCATTAGGGTTCCGTAGACATGGTGACCATAACTTCTATCTAAACATCCCAGAGGTTATATAAGCCCATGGTAAATTGTTCCAACTCCTGAGAAAACTCGAGATGGAAATATCTTAATCCATTTGATATCTTTATCATATGGCCCTAACAACTTCGTTATATCTGTCCATGGGAACGGAGCTCCCGAGTGTGCTGAAAACGAGTTGTTTACTTAATAAATTCCACTCACCACCATCTTATAACATAATTTAGTGAATTCGTACTTTAATTATAAATTTTACATCTGAATTAATTTGCTTTTGAAACTAGTAACATCAAAGTAATGTAACCATTATGAAAAGAACATTAGTATTACTGAACATTATTATAGTCATATATTGGCTGGAGAGCTTTGATCTACTTCTAGTTGATTAATATATCTCCTTTTTTGCAAGTGTACATATAAATGTCCTCATGGATCAGAATGAAATCTACCATGAATAGCTGAGAGCTTTGTGAAAGCTAAACCCAAATCATACAAAACCAATTTAAAAACATGACTATAGAACAGAGGTATAAATAGAGTCCTTAATTTCTTAAATGAAATGTGAGTAAAACCCTGAGAAATAACTAATTTCAGTTATCCAGGAGCCTAGATGAATTTACTCTTATGCATTAATATTATGTTTGAATACTGTGGTGACAATTAGGGATTCAAATCATAACATTCTAGTAAATACTGTCTTTAGGGAGAATAGAGCTCTCTCTGCAGGAATTGGAATAAACAACTCATATCCCATTTTATCCATTCCCATGGATGCAGTAGTATTAAATAATAGCCCTGAGAAAAGCTAGCTATCTTTTTAATAATGGATTGATTGCCTACCTACTAATACATGTGCAAACCCTGCATTCAGCCCAACAGCAGTAGCTAACGCTTGCTGTGTCCCTAACAGCCAAAAAGAAAAATGCCATTCCTACCCAACAAAGAGGACAATTAGGGTTAAACCCATCTAGCATTTATATAGCATTTTTTTCTTTGATGTTTTCCTTTATTCACTCAATACCTAGTAATTGGTTTCTCCTTTCCTATTCTTTGATCCCTGAACAGATTTCTTTTCATTTACTTAGACACATATTTTTACACAGATGAGAGAGCAAGAGAGGGGGGAAAAAAAGGACACAATAAATGTTTAAGAAAAAAAGTAGCAGAGGGTTAAATGTCTTACTCCTCGATGCCCAGAAGATCTATACAGAGATATCCTTTTCAATTCTGTAGTGAAATGAGTCAGTAGGAGTTCACTTCTGTGATTCAAACCCTCTCTCCACAAAACTATTGTCTACCTTAAATGTTACACATCTTTTTTAGCATGTAATCACCTTAAGTGTCCTTTCTGCAACTTCCCATGACTTTCAGTGACTTTATGAGACTTTGATATGGTAAAAATGGTAAAAAAATTTTGTGCCAAAAATTTGTCAAGTATTACTGGTTGAGAATACAATGGGAGCACCTGCAGAGGTATGTAGCCTGCAGCCATTGACCTGATCCTCTCTCAGGGGATAACTTAGAGCCAAGAGCTATACTTGAACCACAACACAAGATTTCAGGAAAATTTTCTTTTGCCGGCTTTTGCTATGTACATTAGACACTATAAACTTCTTTTCCATGCAGAAATAAAACAAGATCTTGAAAATTCCCAAGAATTACCCCCAACCTCAAAATTGTACTCTCCTAACAAGCTCTTAAATATTTCTATTTTCATGCTACTTTGTACCTTGGACTTTTTAACTGTTTGCATATACAGTCGATGAGTTTGAAATCTCCTATTTTAAAAGTAGAATGCTTAAGTAAGGAACTCCATGCCAATAAAATGTCACAATATTAGTATCTGATGAGAGGCTAACCAAAATAAGTGAATTATACTACAGTTAGCTGCTGAGATCAGTTTTAGAAAAGAAAATCTTTGTAAAAAAAAGTGTATATAAAATTTTCATAATCAAAAAAGTCTAGTGACCCGTATTTCCTTTTGAAAGAGATAGCATACTTAACTAATATATTATTTCAATACATTATAATATTTAGTTTTCAAATGGTGATTTGTCTTTCAAATCTTTTGCTTTTCAGTTTAACATGCACATGCAAAGATAAATTTTTATCCCAAAGATACAACTATAGATCTATATATTGGTGATATTTTTGGTTTTTAACTAATGGAAAGGAATTGTGCTTACACCTATTTGTTCCTTGTTTAGGGAAATTAGGCCAATTTGGAGACTAAAGCTACTTTTTTTCATGACTTATCTAAACAGTTCAACAGCATTGAGTAAACGGGCTCCTCCACTCATCCTGTGCCCTTTTCTCCCACTCTTCTGGGTTGAACCACTTTCTATTTTTAAGTTTGGGTGTTTGACCTCCAGGTACCTTTTTATTCTATTATGCATCTTGCTTTTTCTTCCTCTCCTCTCCACTACTCTTCTTCTCTTCCTCCCACCCTCCTTCTACTGCTACACCGAGCCAAGCTTCCAGGTCAATACAAACACATCTACCTCTCTCCTTTCAGCTTGGCCTGGAGAAGAACTGGCCGATGAACACATCGTGCATGGTGGAATGCCCTGTCAACTGTCAGCTTTCCGACTGGTCTCCTTGGTCAGATTGTTCTCAAACATGTGGCCTCACAGGTTGGTTTGTACCTTCATTAACATTAGACCCCTGGTCAAGGAACAGGAAATAAGATACCCCTCTTGCTTTAAGTCTTACCAGATAATCTTCAGAAAAGTTGAAATCAGTGTCTTTCTCTTCAAAATGGCTGAGCCTTACTCGTTCCTCAGGTCTCCTCAGCAGAAGTATCTGATGCCCTCTCTCAAGATAGACGCTCACACAAATATGTCACTAGAGTTGCATCCCCTTGTATCTCTTTAAGGAAAAATGATCCGAAGGCGCACCGTGACCCAGCCCTTTCAGGGTGATGGACGGCCATGCCCTACCCTGATGGAACAGTCCAAGCCTTGCCCAGTGAAGCCCTGTTACCAGTGGCAATATGGCCAGTGGTCTCTATGCCAAGTGCAGGTAATCAGATCTCAAGAGGTTGTATGGAAATGTGTGTTTTTTTAATCTGTAGAGACTTGTTTTCAGAAATATTTTTCAGAGCTGACAGCATGTTTCCTCCTAAAGATTTTAGGTACCTTGCCATTTTGTAACTGTTTAATTAGTTTTGATAACAAGCAGTCCTGTCCTGTGTTTTTAAAATCATTTGGAGACTGATTCATTTTAATGAAAATTTATTTGCCTGTCTTTGGCTAGAAAACAAATGAATTGTTCATTGTGTACTTTACTGCTAGTGTCCTATAGGACTTCTTCCCTAAGGTTGCAAATGCTTTAACTGCCCATAAATCAAAATCAGTCATGCAGAGATGACTGTAAGTGATGAGCTCGCTAATGAATTATTTTTCTTTTCCTAATTAGTTACTTCTTCCTGTATTCCAGGATGCCCAGTGTGGTGAAGGGACCAGAACAAGGAACATTTCCTGTGTAGTGAGTGATGGGTCAGCTGATGATTTCAGCAAAGTGGTGGATGAAGAATTCTGTACTGACATTGAACCCATCATAGATGGTAATAAAAAAATGGTTCTCGAGGAGACCTGCACCCAGCCTTGCCCAGGTAACAATACCAAAACAGAATTCATAGTTTGGTCATTTCTTACTAGTACCAGAGTTGAGAAGGAGTATGTTCTAAGTTACATGTATAGTCTAAGTTAAGGCATGTCAGCAAGTCTCATTCAGTAGTATCTATGCCAATAACTGGATACTGTAGTGTGGATGAAGGGGGTCTTGCCTTGTCACTGCCAACGAAGGGTGAAGTCTGGGTCTCCTATGTGGCCTCTGCTGACACCCACTCACCTGGAGTTTTAACACCTACAGGGGATGGCAGTAAGGCCGTAGGTTCATGCTTGACAGGGCAAGTATGAAAGACAATTTGCACCTAGTTAGGATTTCCAGGAGAGAGAGAAGCAGGGTCTAAACACATAATGGCTAAAGAAAGACTTAAGTCCTTATAATGAAGGCTTACTCTGGGTCCTGAATAGAGTCAACAACAAATTTACATGTAGGCATATTGTACTTAAAACATAAAATGTAGAAAAATAACTAGTAACACACCAAGAAAAAAAAAAAAGATTACCTGCAACTGAAGGCAATTAAAATTAGAATTCTTCTTAGTTATAATGAAAGCCAAAAGACAATGGAATATATGCAAAGTGTGATGGAAAATGGCCATGAACCTAAAATGCTATCCCCAGCTACACCATTCAAGAGTGAGAAAAAATAGTATGGAAGAAAATATTGAAATTATTCCAATTCAAAGTTAGACACAACAGGTTCATGCAGTAAAATGTGGAAAGCAAATATTATATATCAAGTAGTTTAGAAATAATTGGCAGGCAGTGATAAACTAATATTTAGGAATTTGGGCTTGATGCAGAGAACTTTAGGGTAGACAGAAGATCAAAATAAGTTCAATGTCAGGTAGGAGCCTAAGGCTTTGAGAAAGATGGGGGCAACAGTTTATTATTAGTAGACCAGAAAAGAATAAGATTGGAAGTAAATTGCCTATACTTTACCCTCAGTGAAAAGTTTTTGTTCTCCCAATTTGCCTATAAGAAAAATATCAATCTCTTTCAGGAATGTGTTATTCAAACAAGATCCCCCCCAAAATAAAAAGGCAAACAAATATTGGAGACAAAAATAAATCATACCTTTTTTATTTGGGTATTTAAAATTTTAAAGATGGAGAACATATTTTCAAAAGTTTATTTTAATGGAATTAAGTCTTTAAACACTGTAAAAAGCTGACAATACGGGTTGCTCATTCATTCTCATTAATTTACTCATTCTTAAGTAAATTATTTGCGGTGATAATATTGGCAGTTTCTGTAGTTTATCAAGATGAACTTAATAAAATTAAACAGAGCAGTAGATAAAACAACCCAATACTTTTAACTAAGTGCTAGACTTTAAGTTCATCCCTCACTGTGCATATTCAACTGTAACAACAATCTTTGTGTATACAGATAGTTTCATCTACTTCAAATGAAGAAAGATCTTTTTTAAAAATCTTTAAAAATTACTTTCTAGACCTAGGCTAAGTGTTGCTTTTTAGACATTCCCACACCTGCTAATAATAACCTATTCCTGATCCAGCAATTCCCCTCTTCATTTCCTGACCCCCCCCCCCCCCCCAGATTTCCTGGCCTGATTTCAGTCTAGATATCACACACAATTGAACTTAATAAAATCATTTTTCTCCACAACAGACTGAGGTTGAGGCTGTGGCAGCACATAAGGGCTGTGGGCAGAGCCCAGGACTGAAACTTTGGGCTTCGATGTGCCAAATGGCCACATAGTCAATGAAAGGTGACCAAAGCTAAAAGTTGGGAAGGCCTATCTCTTCTAAAGCCAAATCTCCAGTGCCATTAATGGGATTATTGTGATACCCACAACACGGAGCAGCACTGGTCTCCTTGCCAGGCAATAGGGTCTACTTCCCTGTGGAGTTTCTCCTACTTGTTTTCATTATACTTCCTGCAGCACGATCGCCCCTTCATTTGACTATTATCAAGTGTTACTGGAGGCTGGGCCCCGGGCTCAAGATTGGAGATACACTGAGAGACAATTATAGCCTGTCCCCATTGCATTTACCTTCTAATGGAAGAGACAGTTGCTAATCTAATAGTAACTTAAGTGAACACAAGATTGAAATATGTCCTAAGTGACCCGAAGGAAAGGAAGATCTCATAATAACATCAAACAGGGCAAACACACCATTCTAATTAAAGTAATTATAAATCCAGGAGGAGGCTGCTCTTCTTTTATAAATTACAATCTATGCATCTCTGTTCCTCTCTTGCCCGTTTTCTCCAGTAATAGGTTTTAAAAGTTAGCAATATAGGAGCTACTAAGCTTTAAAGAGCAAAATACTAAAGTAGGGATGTGCATTTCATACACTTGTCCTATCTTTTGCAGGCATAGTATAGTTTATTATTACAATGGTTGGATGGTCAAAATATAAAAGTATGTTTAGTACAAGCTAATGCCGTACTCTCATTTGCTGCTATTAAATCTTTGAAGCCTGACCTGGATTCTTTGGAGGTGAGGATTATATAATTCACGGACAACTATTAAAAGATTAAGCTCTGTTGTGAAATACACTATGTCAAGTGCTATAAGCACAGAAATAGAGCCTACTAGTACAAAAGGTATATTTCCATGTAGTCTGCAATTGCTGAGGTACAGTTATATTACCTTTATCTTAAGAGGACTGTTTAAAATTCTAATAGTTTCTCCTGCATAATTAAAAACTAAGTAACCCAAAAGTATTTAAACATGCTTCCTAGTTTTTCTTTAACACTTGTAAAATTCACTAGAATTTTCTGAACTTCAGAATGACATTGAATATTAACAACATACTATAATAAAGGTCTACAAAAATCATTCCACTTTACTATTATACATCTATTAGTCAATAATTCATGTTTGACGAAGATTTCTTAATTATAGCATAAGACATGTTTTCATTAATCAGATCTCCAGGCAACTTTGTGCTATTAGACATCTTCAGCATAATGTAAGGCAATATGAATTATGCATGTGGTATGGCTAGAATAATTAAAATAAGAATCCATATGGATTTGTGTCTATCATAATTTATTGTATCCTCTGAACAGTATCACCAGTCAGTCCTGAAGAATGGATGAGCATATGGGAAAGATATTTCATTAATTCTTCCCTATTCTCATAATGGTTGAAGATGTTGAGCACATTATACACCAGGGTCCTAGGTATTCACCCAACAGAAATGCACATAAGTTCAAAGACTCATACTAAAATGTTCACAACAACAGTATTCATAATAGAAAAAATTTACAACTCTCCACATGCCCATCACTAGAATGGATATCTAAATTGTGATACCTTCATATAGTGGAATAATGTACAGCAGTAAGAATGATCAAAGTGGAACTACATAAATACATGTGGATCTTGCAAACATAATTGAGTGAAATATTTTTTAAAGATATGTATGGTATAATTCCATATATAACACAAGAACAGTTTCTGAAATTCTGAGACTGCCCTGTTGCTTTATTTGAATATTGGTTGCATGGTTATATAATCAGATTGTGAAAATTCCAACATTTGTAATTTTTCATGTATATTATTCAATAAGTAATTGAAAAAAAAAGTTGATTGAAGCCGTAGATCAGATAAAATTACAAGCATTATTACCCCTACTCCAGTTGCTCAGTTGGCTGTCTCACCTCCACACCCCTGGCTAGAAATAGAAGGAAAAAAAAAAAAGTATAAATGCCAGTTTTCTCAGTCTTGGAGTTCAAGTTCTTTTGCAATTATGTATAGCTACAAGATAAATTTTATGTATATTTAGATTTTCATTGATACTACCAAGAACTTAATAAATCCTTTTATAATAATGACAAGACTGGTGGTAGGTTTTAATCAACTATTTTGTCTTTTAAGAGGAGGTAAATTACAAGGAACAAGCTCCTTCCAGCCATAGTCAATACCCAATAACATCCACTCCAAAAATAACATTCATACACACTTATAAACTACATATAAACTTGCAAATATTAAATACTTATCTTATAAATATGTTTTTTTTGGTATGCTAGTCCTACCTTTCCCAGTGAGGTTAAGAAATAAAATTACTATATGGCTGGCTACTGCTTATGGGTATGTACAAACTACACACCTGTGTTTTGCAGGTGACTGTTATCTGAAGGACTGGTCTTCATGGAGTCTTTGTCAGCTAACCTGTGTGAACGGTGAAGACCTAGGCTTTGGTGGAATACAGGTCCGTTCCAGAGCTGTGATTATACAGGAACTAGAAAATCAACATCTGTGCCCAGAGCAAGTGTTAGAAACGAAATCATGTAATGGTGAGTGCTACAATTCATGAAATCTTTTCAATTTAGTTTTATGTTGATAGAAAAGATATAGAATTTTCTGTTCAATAAGTCATTTGCTAAGATCTCGCTTAAGACTGAGAATTGAGTAGGATTCTGAATTTTAAAAAATTTACAGGAAGAAAAATCTTCACCCTTCCTCAATTAGATAAGAAATGTAAAAAATGTTTGTTTTATGAGCTACAGAAGATTGAGCTAACTAAGAGCACATTATGTGTACACCCAGGACAAAATCTAACAATAGCCTTTATTTAAATCAAAGGAAACAAAAATCCACAGCCAAGTGAGAGGTTTTACTATATTCTTAGAAACTGATAAATCAAAATATTGGTGAGAATTTGACCTAGGTGTTATGAACATCCGTGTTTACAGGTGTGTGTACATACATGCACATATAGAGCCACCCAATACATGACATTTCCAAGAACCACAGAGCATCAAAAATAGTTTGGGAACACAGAGGCAGTCTAACTGAAAATGAAAGAATTTATAGGGTCAACAAACAATCTTCTCCTTCCTGCTTGTGTTTTGAAACAATTAGGGAGTAGGACATTTAATAGCAAATAGGAGTCAAAATATTACTATTATTACTGAAAAGTTGGAGGAGAGAGCTCAGAATGTGAAGGAAGAATGCTTAAAGTAAAAGCCAAATGGGCTGGATGACTTAAGAAATAGGTAGAACTATCTGCCTTGTCAGTTCAATCTTCCCAAATTTACCAAGCAGATAAATGATTCCATTTATAATGTACGTAATGAAAATGAAATAAATCCCAAGGAAAGGTTTGTTCAACCCAAAATGACAAAATTAGAAATAAACAACAACAATTAAAAAGAAATCTCCCCATGCACAGACATCAGTCAAAACTAAAAACCACACTTCTAGGGCATTACATATCAGCACAAAAGTACTTAGGAGAGAACTTAAAGCCTTAAATGCCTAAATAGGAGGGAGAAACGTTGAAAATGAGCTAAGCATTAAACTCGAGATTTTTTTTTAAAAAGATAAAGTAGAATGTAACTAATACAGATAAATATAAATTAATGATTAGAAAAGATAATCAACAACCAATAGTGGACCAAAACTAAATAGACCACCTCATGGCAAAAATGGAGGAGAAAAAAAAAAACAATACTACAACAAATAGAGTTTGAAAATATATTTTTGAATATATTTTGCTAATAAATATAAACACTTCAAGATAATCTAGATTATAATAATTTATACCAAGAGTAATTGAGAATCTACACTATGGATTCTATAACTATTAAAAACTCAAATTTATCAAATATTTACTTACACATGAAACAAACTAGAACCTAAATGGCTTTGAGCTTTACCAAAATTTAAAGAAACAAAAACTCCCTTTTATGTGAAATCTTAAAAAATCAAGTTGAGTGGGAAAAAAAGATGAGGAAAATCCCTCCAGCTCTATGAAAGTATAACCCTGACAGTAAAATCAGCCAATAAAGTCACCAATGAAAATAGATGTCAAAATCATTAAAGATTATCTAACCAAATAATTAATATCGTGACTAATTATATTTTTAGAAGTACAAAGATGCCTAAATATTAGAAAAAATAATGTAAGTCATTACAGTAATAGAAAAAAAGGCATATGATTTTAAAATATGTTAAAAAGATGTTTATAGAATGCAACTCTAATTTACAATAAAAACTTCCCAACACAACTTGAACTAGAAGGAAATCACTTTACCTGATAAATGATATCTACCTAAACAAACAGCATACATCATAATATTAGGGGAAACATAAGACACATTCCCTTGCAATCAGTAACAAAGCAAGGATGCTCATTGGGGCTACTTCTTTTCAACCTAGTAAAGAAGGTTCTAGCCAAAGTATAATCAGAAGCTTAATAGTTGAAAACAAAGAAATAATCATTCACATTACTATATGATGTTCACATTAATAATTTTAACAAACAAAATAGATAAAAAATCATGATAAGCTCAATAGATACCGAAAGGAATTTGACAAAATATCCATTCGTGATAAAAACTCACCAGGTGGGTCTCAACATAGCAAAGGCCATCTTTGACAAACCCACAGCTAACATTATTATACTCCGTAGACAAGCTCATAATTGTTCATCATTAAGAAGAGAAGTGCCAGAAGGATATTATCCTCCCTCACCACTTTTAGTCAGTGTACTACTGGAAATCCTAGACATAGCAATCAGACAATAAAAAGAAATGAAAAGCATCCAAGTTGGTAAGGAAGATTAAAACTATCACTGCTTACAGATGATGTGATATTATACACAGAAAACCCTCCCCCAAAAAACTATTAGAATAAATGAATTATGTTAAGTTGCAGGATACAACTGATATATAGAAACATATTTCTATACACTAATAACAAAATAGAAGAAAAAGAAACTCCATTTACACTTGTACCAAGAATAATAAAATACCTAGAAATAAATTTAACCAAGGAAGTGAAAGACTATACACTGAAAACGATAAGGCATCGAGAAGCGAAATTAAAGGCTACATAAGAAATGAAAAGATAGATCATGTTCATGGATTGGAAGAATATTAAAATATTTGTATTACCCAAAGTAATCTATTGATTAAATATAACCCCTACTGAAGTACCAATAATATTAATCCTAAGATTTATATGGAATCACAAAAGACTGAACAGCCAAAGCAATCTTTTTTTTTTTTTTTAAAGATTTTATTTATTTATTTGAGACAGAGAGAATGATAGACAGAGAGCATGAGAGGGAGGAGGGTCAGAGGGAGAGGCAGACTCCCTGCCGAGCAGGGAGCCCGATGCGGGACTCGATCCCGGGACTCCAGGATCATGACCTGAGCCGAAGGCAGTCGCTTAACCAACTGAGCCACCCAGGCGCCCCAGCCAAAGCAATCTTAAGAAAGAGCAACAAAACTGGAAGTAGCACAATCTCAGATGTCAAACTCTACTACAAAACTTATAGTAATCAAAATAGTATAGAATTGGCACAAAAATATACACCTAGATCAGTAGAACAGAATATAGAGCCCAGAAACAAACCCACACTTACATGATTAATCCACCACAAGAAAGGCAAGAAGATACAATAGGGGAAAGACAGTCTCTTCAATAAATGGTACTGGGAAGACTGGACAATTACATGTGAAAGATAAAACTGGACTGCTTTCTTATGCCACACAAAAAAATAAGCTCAAAATGGACTAAGACCTACATATAATACCTGAAACCATAAAACTCCTAGAAGAAAACATAGGCGGGTGCCCAAGTGGCTCAGTTGGTCAAGCGTCTGCCTTCGGCTCAGGTCATGATCCCAGGGTCCTGGGATCAAGTTCCGTGTCAGGCTCCTTGCTCAGCGGGAAGCCTGCTTTTCCCTCTGTCTGCCACTCCCCCCCCCCCCCCAACTTATGCTCTTCTTCTCACTCTCTCTGACAAATAAATAAAATCTTTAAAAAAAAAAAAAAAAAAAACCAACATAGGCAGTAATTTCTTTGACATTGGCCTTAGCAACATTTTTCTAGATACGGCTTCTCAGGTAAGAGAAACAAAAGCAGAAATAAAACTATCGGGACTACACCAAAATAAAAAGCTTTTGCAGGAAGGAAACCAACAACAAGGTAACCTATTGAATGGGAGCAGATATTTGCAAATGATATATCCAATAATGGGTTAATATCCAGAATATATAAAGAACTTACACAACTCAGTACACACAAAGTCTAATGAAAAAATGGGCAGAGTACCTGTATAGACATTTTTCCAAGGAAGGTAACACATTGCCAAAAAACACACGAAAAGATGCTCAAAATCACTAACCATCAGGGAAATGCAAGTCAAAACCACAATGAGAATTTCCTCACACCAGTCAGGATGGTTAATTTCAAAAAGACAAAGTGCTGGCAAAGATGTGGAGAATGGGAACCCATGTGAATTCTTGGCAGGAACCTAAATTGGTACAGCCACTGTGGTGAACAGTATGGAGGTTCCTCAAAGAATTAAAACTACCATATGACCCAGTAATTCCACTTCTGGGTATTTACCCAAGTAAAAGAAAAAAAAACACTAATTCAAAAAAATATGCACCCCATGTTTATTACAGCATTATTTACAATAGCCAAGATATAGAAGTTAAATGTCCACCAATAAATGAATGGATAAAAATGTGGTATATGTATACATATATACCATATTCCGTTCCTCAGCCATACAAAAGAATGTCGTCATCTTGCCATTTGAGACAACATGGATGAACCTAGAAGGTATTATAAGTTAAGTAAGTCAGACAAAGACAAATACCATATGATTTCCCTCATATGTGGAACCTAAAAAACAAAATGAACAAAACAAAAACAAACAGACTCATAAGTACAGGGAACAAACTAGCGGTTGCCAAAGTGGGGGATAAGTGAAATTGATGAAGGGGATCAAGAGGTACAAATTTCCAATTAACAGTGTAAATAAGTCACAGGGATGAAAAGTATATCACGGGGAATGTAGTCAGTAAGATTGTAATAACTTTGTATGGTGACAGATGGTAACTACGCTTATTATGGTGAGCGTTTTGTAATATTTGTAATTGTTGAAACACTATGTTATATGTCTGGAAATAATACTTTGTCAACTATACTTGAATAAAAAATAAAAAATCTTTAAGACTCAATTATAAAATTTAATTAGAAAAAAATTGAATCAAAATAAAACTATAAATAGAAATATATTTAACAGAAATATATGTAAGATATGTATAGAAAATAAATGATGAAATCTTATTTAAGCATATAACTAAAACATTAGTAAAATAGGCATGTTCATGGATAAGCCTCAATATCATTACATCTCAATTTTATACCAATTTATATAAATTCCATGTAATTTGAACCGATTTTTAAGTGATCTGAGAAATTGATCCTAAAATTCATATGGAGAGGTTGAAGACCAAGAAGATCACAGAATTATTAAAGCTCAGAAGAAAAAAATGGGAGAGGAGGTCAAGGGACTTACATGGCTTTATTCAAGATTTACTCTACAGCATTAATAATTTAAGAAGAGTGACCGGTCAACAATAAAGCAATTAGACTAATGAAACAAAGAATCTCAGGAACAAATTCTTATACGTACATAACAGAAGTGAAAGTGAGTAGGGTAATGGGTGGGTAAATAAAGTTGCAATAATTTGTTATCCATATAATGTTTTTAAGATTATCTTGTCGCTCACACCATACACAAAACTGATAATAAACTAAATTATAGAGCCAAAGGTGAAGAGCATAACTGTAAAACATTTAAAGAAAATATAGGAGAATATCATTATGAACTCAAGAAGAATTTCCAAAATAGGACATGAAAAGCACAAAAATGAGAAAGATGAAAAATTAAATCTTCTACATAGTAATAGATCATAAACAAGGTTAACAGAGAAGCCAAAGCCTTAGAAAAGATATTTGTGAAGTCAATTAATTTCCAAGGATTAGTATTCTAGAACAACAATTAGTATCTAGGACAATTTTAAAACTCCAAGAGTATAAAATTGATCCAATTTTATTTTTATTTTATTTATTTGACAGAGCACAAGTAGGCAGAGCAGCAAGCAGGGAGTCACATTCGGGGCTGGATCCCAGAACCCTGCCTGGGATCTTGACCTGAGCCAAAGGCAGATGCTTAACCAACTGAGCCACCCAGGCACCCCTAAAATTGATTCAATTTTATATTCTTAAAATTGAGGACCCCAAATTTTCTTTTGTGAGTTATATATACATAAAAATTTATATTAAAAAGATAAAGAATAACCACAAGCCAATTTTATGTAACAATAACAGTACTTCCTGAAAAATAACTTTGAAAACAAAACCAATAACTTTGACAAGCACGTCCTGTTTTACATTTTTGCAAATCTATAATATCTGCCTTAAAGGAAGACAGCTGGATTCTGTTTCTGCACTCAATCTGTTGCAATCTTAGTTTAGTTGATGTATATGAAGAAAATCCAGCTCTACTCACACAGATGTGTAGTTGAAATACACACACACACACACACACACACAATCTGAAAGATGTCAAAGTCTCCCAGGTTCTCTGGACCATACTTTGAGAACTGCTATTCTAGAGTAAATAATTCCCACAATTCAATAAGAAAAGGCATAGATTTCAGTAGGATAAAAAATGGCCACTAGATATAAAGAAGCAACACTCATAAGAGGAAGTCTAAATGCCCCAAAACATTTGTTACTCTTTAATAGCATTAATAGAGAACTACAATTTAAAATGACGATATAGCTTCCATACCCACCAAAATAACCAAAAATTTTAAATCTGGCAATTATAAATGTTCATGAAGGCTTAAGCAATGATGATCCTTATTCACTGCTGGTGGATATGCAGATTGTCACTTTTTGGAGGGAAAAAAAAGTTATTTAGTATAGTTTCAGCCATCCCTATGGAGATACCCAGTAGTTTGTCTTCTAGATATTTACCTTAAAGAAGCATGAAGAGACTTGCACAAGGTTGACCACGGAGACATTGCTCTAACAACAAAATTTGAAAACAACCTAAAAGGCCATCCAGAGAAGAAATACCAAAAAAAAAAGTTGTCGAGTTTAGTACAGTGGAATTCTATATAGCAGTTAAAATAAATGTACTATAGCTACATTTAGAAAAAACCACATAGAAATATTTCATCTGTATAATATTTACATTTCAGAATGATACATAGACTATGCTACTTTTTAAAATTTTTAATAATATGGTTGACCCTTGAACAACAGAGGTTTGAATTGCCCAGGTCCACTTACAGGAGTTTTTTTTTTAAATAAATACAGTACAGGGATGCCTGGGTGGCTCAGTCAGTTAAGCATCTGCCTTTGGCTCAGGTCATGATCCCAGGGTGCTGGGATGGAGTCCTGCATTGGGTTCCTTGCTCAGCGGGGAGCCTCCTCCTCCCTCTGCCCCTCCCCCTGCTCATGCTCTCTCTGACAAATAAAATCTTTAAAAAATAATAATATGAATACAGTGCAAAATATTTTCTCATTTTTTTTTTTTTTTAAGATTTTTATTTATTTGACACAGAGACACAGCGAGAGAGGGAATACAAGCAGGGGGAGTGGGAGAGGGAGAAGCAGGCTTCCCGCCGAGCAGAGAGCCCGATGCGGGGCGCGATCCCAGGACTCTGGGATCATGACCTGAGCCGAAGGCAGACGCTTAATGACTGAGCCACCCAGGCGCCCCCTTATGGTTTTCTTAGTAACATTTTTTCTAGCTTACTTTATTATAAGTCTATAGTATATAACATATATTTTGTGTTATCAAGTAAGGCTTCTGGTCAACAGTAAGATGTTAGTAGTTAAGTTTTGGGAGAGTCAAAAGGTATATACAGATTTTAGACTGCATAGGGGTACATGCCCCTAATCCCCATGTTGTTCAAGGTTCAACTGTATTGTATTATCATTAAAAGAATAAAAACCGTGGCAAAGAAATGGGATTTAGGAATAGATCAGGAATTTTATAACATTTTATAACATTTATATGGCAATTTCAGGACAATAAATTAACATTTGTATCATTTTTGAGATGGACTTACCACTTTGACAATTGTTTATAAATATTTTCTTAATATTCTTTCCCCATGATTGTCCTTCTAGACAGCAGAATGCTTCTGTTCATGTTTATTGTGTCCCTGCAGATGGACAGTGTTATGAGTATAAATGGATGGCCAGTGCTTGGAAGGGTTCTTCCCGAACAGTCTGGTGTCAAAGGTCAGATGGTATAAATGTAACAGGTAAACTTCCAATTTCTCTTTTTGGTTTTTTTGTTTTGTTTTGTTTTTTTGCAAGTCTTCCTGTAATACACATGCAGTTGGTTAAAGCAAATAATTAAGAAAACAAAGATACTCTTTCAGTACTCAGCACATGGTTGGGACTCAGTACCTAGGCTGTATAACTGTAACCGGTGACTATTTTATTTTTTATTATTTCGATTAAATTCTCAAATTCTCCCTCATCCAGCCATTTTAGACAATGTTGCTAGAATCTAGTTAAAATATTACCTAATTCCAATAAATTATAATTTTCAGATTGTCTTCCCTAGAAATTTTATATGTGAATAACTCACCATATGCTTAAAAAAAAAAAATCAGTATTTTGTGGACTATATCTGTTTCTGTACCTTAAAAATAATATATACTAAGACCAAAAATATTACCAAGTAAATATAATTATACAAATCCAAATATCTTGCTTGAATTCAGAAATCTATGATTCAGTTTTTTATTAATTAATAGGTAAGATCTATTGGCAAATCTCAAGCCCAGAACATCTGGGCAGCTAACCTACTCTGCCCACTCTGTCCCCACTCAAAAATTATATATTCAAAGAAGAAATCCAAATGAAAAACTTTTCTAAAATGTCCTTTGACCCAAATATACCAAAGAGCTTCTCTAATCTGTGATTACTGAAAGTTTCCTTATCTGACCCCAGTAAATGCAAGGGTTCAAGGACCCTATGAAGTGGAGAGAAACTTGGCTCCAGATATGTACCTTGCAAATTTCCTAGAAAGAAACCAAGGTCAGAACCAGAACCTAAACCTTAAACATATGACCCAAAGATCTAATGTCTCTCCTTTAACATTTTTATAGATCTAATCTATAGGAATCTTCATAGTGTATCAGTAACATGAGTTTTGAGAGTTAGCTACTCCGGGGGACCTACTGATTTACTGCCATTGTTTTGCCCGCTGGCAGAGATAAAAAGTAATGTGCATTTGGGTGCCTATTAGTAATGTCCATTTATAAATTTAGCTGTAATATATACAGTAAGATAACAGGAACAGAGATCAATATGCTTTTTGGAAAGCATCAATTTTTATATTAAATTTTAGATTACCTGGATTTATTTAAACCTAATTACTTATTTCCTCCCTATGAAAGCTGGAACAGGATATCAAATTATATTCTTGTGAAGGTAAGATATTATACATGAGAAATCTGTATCAAGAAACCATTGATAATAGCAACTCCCAGTGGACACATATATAACAAAGAAGAGACACCTACCAGGAAACCCTTTGCTCTCTCACAGTATTATCTACTGGGGTGGGGGGGTGGGGGGGTGGGGAATCTATTCCAACCACACCACTGTAAGAGGCCTAAGGGGAGAAAGAGCCTTATGAAGGGAAGCATACATTTTCTGAATTTGAAGGCACTTATAGAGATGGTCCATTCAACTCAAGTGTTGAAAATGAAGTTCTACATTCTTCTTGAAACTCTTCAGAGGGAACGTTGCAGTTTCCCCAGAGGGTCCTGTTATTTTCAGATTTCTTTTTCCTCCCCAAATATGGATGCCAGTAATATTTGTCTGCCATTTCTTCTAAATCTCTTCTCCCACTAAAATTAGGGGTATTCCCCAATGCAAAGGTAAGTCGAATTTTAAAAGGCTTACCTGTAGAAATCATGTGTTCACCTTCTTTTTAATCCATTAAAGTACCCAATGTATTTCTTTCTTTCTAATACTTTCTCTGATACCAAAAAGGCCAATGTGTAAATGATTTGTGATAAACTCTATATGCATTCTTCTTCTATCTTTTAGGAGAGACGAGATTCTTTATGAGAAATAGACAAGCATGTAAAGTATATTACCTATCTTGATCGATTGCTTTAATTTTATGAAGTTGTCCTTATTAGAAATCAAGATGTTTTTCTTTTTCATCATGTGTTTCATGATAATAACCTCAATATGGCCTTTTAACTGCAATTGGCTTGCAATGACTAACTGCTTTCCCATCATAATTTTTTGATGAACAGTTTATATTATTGAGAAATAAGGCAAAGAATTAACAAGAGGATCTTTGATTAAATTCCAGAGGATCATCAATTCCATAAATAAAGGAAAAACTTTGCTTTCCTAAAATCCTATTCAACTGAGCAAGTATGGTTTGAAACTCTAAGTTCCCTGCACATCACCGGTATTGTTTCTCTAGGACATCTATTCTCATCTTAAAACCTCACTTGTAACAACTTAGGTACACTTGGTACTAGACCTGAAAAGAAGAGAAGGAAGAAAAACCAGAGAGCTGCAATGTCAAGTTAAACAATAATGCAAATACATCACTTAGCAGCTACAAAAATCCTGAATTGGCAGGAATAGGGATTTTCTCCAAGAACTATGTATGCATTATTTTTTAAAAAGTACATTTATGTGGTAGTCACATAAATTAAAGAAACATCTCAAGAGACATAAGAACTGTTTCTTTGGCCAAGAAAAAAATTTAGCTTCAAAGGAAAATTCAATCTGCTTTTTAATGTTGGACTGGGCCAATAGGGGGGGCTGGGGACCATGACAGAAATGGCCTGTGTGCAGTTAGTGTTTTCAAAGTGGCAGCTATACAAACACTGCTTGTGGAGCAGCTGCTGAGTGCCAAGCACTGTGCTATCTCCTCTGAATAAGAGGGGCCTCAAGTTCTGGTATGAAGTGGTCAAGGTTAACCAAGTATTTCGCAATCAGTCGCCCTCAGAAAAATCCATGGGGGTTCCCGGAGTAGTTCAGGATTCAAAGACAAGTCTATCCAACACGGTATTTCTATCATTGCAAGAGATGCTACTTGTCAATATATGATTTTCTGTTCTGCAGGGGGCTGCTTGGTGGTGCGCCAGCCTGATGCTGACAGGTCTTGTAACCCACCGTGTAGTCAACCCCACTCGTACTGTAGTGAGGTATGTGTGACTTCATTAGGAAAGACAAGCCAGCTGCATTATTTGTCACCCACCACCTCTTAAAAAGTCGACTCCCTCCCCCCTTCCCCCCCTGCAGAAAAAGCATGTCTTGTGGCCTAAAGATTTCTAGACCTCTCCTTTTATCGATATAAACAATTCTGAATGCACTTATTTCTACTGTTAAAATAATTTGTGAACAGTACAAAAAGTGTGTTTTTTTATGTAGCTAAGACAAATTACATGTAGTAAATTCCGAAAACAGTACTTCCTTAAAGCCTTCTCTTCACGTCAGATCTTTTATGCTCTCATCACCTTCTATGTATAGTAGAAATCCTCTTGTTCTCCTGCAGATGAGGACATGCAGTTGTGAAGAAGGGTACACTGAAGTCATGTCTTCTAACGGTACTCTTGAGCAGTGCACACTTATCCCCGTGGTGGTGATACCCACTGTGGAGGACAAAAGAGGAGATGTGAAAACCAGTCGGGCAGTACATCCAACCCAATCCTCCAGTAACCCAACAGGACGGGGAAGGACCTGGTTTCTACAGCCATTTGGGCCAGGTGAAGTGACTAGACAGTGTTGATGTAGAATCCTTTAGTTATACATTTAAGCAATGTCAAAGGGTTAAAAAAAATGAGCAAGCATTTTCACATGAGTCATCTGTACTTATTTATTCTGATATTGCCACATAGCATGTTTTTACTATTATGAAAAAAGCACTCATGCTCAAAGTTCAGAGAAATGAAATTAATTTCCTCTTAGAAAAAAATTAGGATATTAGTTATTTTGATCTCAGACCTAAATTTACAAGTATAATTATGCTTACATTGAACAAAGAAATCTAACCATGAAATATTAATTAGGAAAAAAGTATGTGGTCATTCAGAACTGAAACAAAACTCTAAAGACATTCAAGAATTTTTCGTTTGACCATAGACTGGTAATAATTTAAACCTAAAATAGGAACATCAGTAATGCAGTGCTGTGCTGGTGGTACTCGGTAGCCAGCCCAATTTCTATCAGCCCCTAGATTTGATAAACTCAAATAATAAGAATCTGTACTAGCACCAGATACAGAAGGGCAAGTATGGAGCCTTCCTGTCTAGATGGGATGATTTAAATTTGGAGACTGACCAGACCCTTGTCATATTAAACAGACATCCTTAATGTGTCTAGTAATGGACTTGAAGCCAACAGAGGCAAAAGCTTGAAGGCCTAATACAATGCTGTCCCTACCCCACACATGTTCTCTCCCCAGATGCAATAAACTGTATGCTTATTTCTGGAACTAAAGCTGGTGTTTAAAATTGTGCTGCAAGGGCTTTAAGGTAGCTAAGATCATGGTGGTTTTTCTCACACCAAAGGGGTTACTAGTTAACGACCAAAGGAAATCTCTAGGCAAAGCCAGACATAGTCTACTTTACAGTTGTTAGAAATATGAGAAAAGAAGGAGTCTGCATAGCACATTTCTATTTCTAATGCTTTAAGTCAAAACACTTTCCCTTACTGGAGAATCACTATTAGGATTTTAAGTATTTTCAGTATTTAGATGACTTAACCCAAATATTGAGATTTAACCACATTATCCCTGCCTTCATAAGGTTGTTAGCTGAAAATACAATTTATTTTGCAAAGCTGACTTGTCCGTGCAAACCTGGGAAACTCTTCTCTCGGTGTTTAAGATAGTGGACCTGCAAATGGCCATTAGCAATCTTGACCTTGACTAAGAATCCAAGCAGAACTTCTCACATCAAAAGTGGTTTTTAAAAAGAGAACATTGTCATTTTATATATATACCTTCCCTAAAATGAATATTTTAATATATTAAAAAGGTTTATGTTCTTAAAAAGTGTATTTAGACTCTGTTCTTGGTTTTTGAAAAGCTCCAAGAATATTTGTTGAAGAACTCTCAGGGCGGATGAACCCAACAGGGGTTGATTTTAAACCCAGTCTCTAATTTTTAAAATCTTTAGAATTGAAAAGAAGTATATTTAGAATATTAACAGTTTAGTTCCAATAAATGGACCCCTAAGTTGATCTAGCTCTAAGTAGAAAAACTTTCACAGTACTGATTTGTTTTTGATGCCTTCCAAATATTGAATAAACCAGAGTGTCTATGGAGCCAATTTGCCCAATCTATAATTTTAGCACTAATATGTTTAATTGTATGTATGCAACAGAAAATACGTGTTGATGTAATGATCAAGTTAGGCAAATTTATTAATACTATCATCTAGTTGAAGTTTATTGTGAACAGAAAACTAAGAAGCTCAAAGGAAATGAGACCAGAAAACCAAATTAGAAAAGTTTCTATCCTGCCTAATTCCATATAATAAAAAGTTAGAAAAATGTTATTTATAGTTAGAAAGTTCTTTATATGTTATAATCAAACTTGGCTATTTTTACAAAGGATATTGTCGATTAAGCTTTAAAGTACAGTGTAAGTGTAAATTAGATAAAAGATTAATTCCCCCCAAAAATGTTAAGCATATTCACTTTCAATTCATCATAAAAAAAAGTTAAAATGACAAAATTTATGTTCAAATACCTGTCTGCATTAACCCTAAGCTGTAGGACTTTATTGAAATTGCATTACTTTTCTTCTTTCCTTATAATTGCCATTCTCAGAATAAAAATAAGAAAATGTTTATTTAGCATTATGCATATATTGGATTTGAAGTAAAATTTACATAAGCAGCTGCAAAAATTTAGGCATATGAACCTGAAATCTGAACGCAATTTGAATTGAAAAAATTATTTTTCCATTTAGTTCTCACTGATAATTTATCTTTAATGAAGCAGCATCTAACTCATAATAGCAGCTTTGCATTAATCATTAACTGTGCCTAAGCAATAATTCACTTTGTTTTGAAAGGATTTGGTCATATGTCACTGGTCATTGGTCATAGTTAAAGACTGTCATATATATATTTATATATATATATACACACACACACACCAGACTAATGTAAATTAATAACTAATATCCATTCTTCTTAGATGGGAGACTAAAGACCTGGGTTTACGGTGTAGCAGCTGGGGCATTTGTGTTACTCATCTTTATTGCCTCCATGATTTATCTAGCTTGGTGAGTGATTAAATATTTCAAAATATAAGGGGATACAGATCAATTTCAGCAAAAACACTGTCAGTTGACTATAATACAGAAACAGCAATTTGTATCAAATAAGTATTCTACATTTATTTAGTGTTCATCTGAAATTAGAAACAAAAATAGCTTTAGTCATAGATATTCTAAAAACTACCAAATCAGCCATTTAATATCTGAAGATGAGCCAGAGCTGCTCCAGGTCATCTCAAGTATGTTCCCCTTGGTTATACAAGATAATATTGCTTTGTTTGCTTATCGTGAACTACAGAGTTTGATACTGAATTACGACTGGAGAAAGATATTATGGTGATACCTAATTTTATTCAACTATCTTTTTAAACATGTATTATAAATTGTGTATTTATAAAGATTTCTGGTCAAATACTAAAGGATTATACTATAGTATTATTTCCATTGTTAGTGAGAAATTTCATTTGATAATTCTCTTACAGGATAATAAAATATTTGAGGGGTTCTATTTCAAGGTTATTCAGAGCATTAAATAAGAAAATCAAAGATATCAGAATATCAAACTTGAGGTTGAAATTAGGTCATTAGGCAGTTAGGCAACTTTATCAATATATTTTGAATTTTTTCATTTAAGACAGTAAAATTTATGATTAAAGATGGATTTTCCTTCTCCAATTATTATTTTTTTTATTATTTACAGCAAAAAGCCAAAGAAACCCCAAAGAAGGCAAAACAACCGACTGAAACCTTTAACCTTAGCCTACGATGGAGATGCAGACATGTAAAATAGAACTTACCCGGGCAACAACCAGTTTCAGCTTTCTGACTTTGCAGTAGACAGCCAGCAGCCACAAAGCTCTTCATACTGTGTGAATTCAAATGCATTATAACTTTTTAAAAGAGCATCATAGAGTGAAAATCAGTGCCATTGGAGATATCAAGACAGTACCACTTACATAAAATTAAAAAAAAAAAAATCAGCCCTGAGAATTCTAGATTTAGTTGAATATAGGCTGCATTCTGAGAGTTTTTTGTGATCTTTTCTGAAATCACCAACTGACCATTCACTTTCATCTCTAAAATACAGTTGTGGAATTGGTCAGTTAGGACGCCTGATGCAAGCCTCTGGGCAGTGTTAACCCATAGTAACATTATAGCATGAGGAGTTTATACCAAGATCTCTACAATACTATAGTCAAGCATAACAACATGTATACTCAATGGAATGACACACATTACTATGTCAGACTATGTACTTGTTAATAAGCAGTTTTAATGGTGAATAAGAGATAAGCTCTAAGCTGAGCAGGAAACCCATTGAATAAATTCAGCATCTTGGTGGTTGATGGTAGCTCTCATTAACCTGCATTTCAGAGGCAAAGACTCTTTTATAAGACTTAATTCGTGTCTTTCTCCAAAGTACGAATGCTGGACATGTACTAGTATCTTAGAAAAAAAAAAAAAAAGTCCTCAAATTCAGTATTTTATAGTGGTTATTGTCAGGAAAACTAATTTACTTGTGTTAATACGTTTCTACTTTCCCTAATTTTCAAACTGGTAGCCTGCATCTCTTTTGCTATATGGAAGGCACATTTTGCACTATATTAGTGCAGCATGATAGGCACTTAACCAGTATTGCCATAGAAACTGCCTCTTTTCATATGGGATGAAGACATCTGTGCTAAGACGGTCATGGAGCCATTTGCAAGTTCTTACATCCGGAAGAGAATAAAGTTCAGTTTGGATGGCGACAGGATGGAGTTAGCTATTACATCTGCTGTCTACACTCTTCCTCATTGCTGCAGCCATTGTGAAATCGACAACATGGTGGTGATTTAAATGCTCAAATCCCGAACTCATTAATCCTTCAAAAGATGGATCCCTCTAGTTGGTTTTTAATTGTACTTTGAAGGCGGTTTACGACTAGATTAGATTTTTATATTTGTTACCTTTGTTAAAAAAAGAAAAGGAAAAGAAAAAAAGGAGCCGGTTGTCTTTTTAATTTTGAGCAGATGGAGAAAATAACGTCTTGATAATTTTTGTAACTAAAAGAACTCAAAATCTTGTGATTTTTTTTTCCCCGATTTGTTTTTCCTAGTTTTGCATCAAATGCATCCATAGTTTTGTCTTGCTGACTGGTAAAATTTGAAGCAGGCTTTGTAGGATTTCAAAAACTAAAATGTTCAAAAAAGAATAGTTTGCCCCAGGGCTTCATTAAATATCTAGACCAAGGGTGGCAAACGTTTTCCGTAAAGGGCCGGATAGTAGGTATTTTCCGCCAGGCCTGGTCACACCTGCTCCGTTCTGTCATCATGAGGATGCAGGTGTAGACGAGACACAGGCCATAGAAGAATGAGCGTGGCTGTTTTCCAATGAACCTTTGTGACAACAATCAGCAGGCCACATCTGCAGGCTGTGGTTTGCGAACCACTGGTCTAGAAGCTTTTTCAGTGCTTACCTCTCTGTTGTGTCATCTTTTGCTTTCATTCATTTACCCTTAGAATGCCATCAGTGTTTAACTTCAGAGGTGAAAAACGGTCATTAAAGTTTATCACTGTTTTGGAAGTAGTTCTGTTTTTCACACATGTAGCCCTGGGAATGGCACAGTGAAATACTATCTAATGTGGCAGACTTCTTTTGTATGAAAAGAAAAAAGAAAAAAAAAATCAAAAGGTGCCATTAAAAAGCGATTCCATTTTTCAGGCAACATTTATTGCAACAACCTTTGGTAGAGGGGAGGACATTAGGTTTTCAGGTCTTTTAAAAATAATGTAATAAGCTATTTTATCTTAAACATAGCTGTGTTGCTATACACTTGTTTAGACTAGAAGGTGTTTCACCTTCAAGTAGAGTTTGAACTCTCCCTGCTGTTCATTAGAGTATTTGCAAAGATTACAAAAGACATCAGATTAGGATGTCCTCGCCCCCAAACTGAACAGATTTCTACCTATCTCAGTATGAATTAAATGTGGAAACCACTAATTCCTTACTCAACATTTACTGTATTAGGCAAAGCAATCATTTCAAAGCAAACAGGTGGTCACAAAGAGGAGAATTTTACTTTAAACCAACGATTTAAACAAGGCAAAGCATAAAAACAAATTCCATTGCATCGGTCTTACTGAAGAGGAAAACAAAAATAATACCATTGCTCTGAAACTGTGATTGCTAGTCTAGGTACTCAGGGGTCTTCCAGGTATTCCTCAAGTTGATCTCTTCGAATAAAATGAACTCCATTTGTCCAAAATGGTTGAGAAAGAATCTATTGCAGTTACTTGAAGAATTTAGCTAACGGCCTTAGAAAATGTATGCAACACCTAATAACTTTGAAATTACTGAATAATATGTTGTTGCTATAAAAGCTATACTTAGGATACTGTAAAATGTCCTTAATTCAGAAGGCCTATCAGTATCATCCAATCCATACTCTAAGAATTAATTGATCAAAACTATAAAATTTTACGAAAATACACGATTTTATTCATAAATGAATTATATTTTGCAACACTACATATACGGAGGAGACTAGGTTCAATGGGACCTAAAACTAGGGAACATATTGGAAGTTCACCATTAGGATTAATACTGGGTGCCCTCTTGTTAGAAAGGTGGAAGGGCACGTAGCCAACTGGCTATTTTGGACAAATGAAGGTTACTATATTCATGTTTAGAACATGATAATAGCCTTATTTTTGTTCCTGGCATGAGTCAATAATGAGTTAAGTATGTTACTGGAATTTCATCAAAACCTTATTTCTCCTGTTCATTCTGACAATTCAGGAGGGGAATATAGTAGTAACTAGTCTGTTGACCCTTCTGCCTTACCAAAATGGCCCATGAGCCCCAAAAGATTTAGAACTACTGCTCTATAAATCTGAAGGTCTGCTTGGTTTAAAAAAAAGAAAAGAAAAATAATGACACAGTATCATGTACAATTTTGTTGGACTATTTCAGTACAAACCACATAGAACTGGCACAACCGCTCTTTTGAAAGGGGTTGATTTGCTTATTAGTACCTAATCTAAGATACCGACTGTAATTCTTACTTGAAAGCCTTTTTGAGGACACTACCATGTAGCTTAAAGCCAATTTGAAAAGGAGTGCATAAAAGCATGTTCTTAATTACTTGTAACAAAGCACAAATTACTCATAACAAGACAAATATTTCTTGAATCATCACATGTAAGACACTCTGCTAGGCACTGTAATACAGTTAGTCATGACTTTTGTATACCTATGTATCTAAGACACTGAAAAGAAGGGAAAAGGTTTCATGAGAGAAGACAGTGCTTAAATCACCCTTGACTCTCGGTTTGTTTCCAGTGTGGTATTTTTCCTGATGGAAAGTCCACATCTCAGGCCATACTGTTAAGCTTTTGCTGTAATCCTCCTCCACCCTCAGGGAGGTAGCAATGTTCATTTGGCTGAACCAGAGCCCTGTTAAGTTCCTGGGCATTTCAAGATAAAGTCACTTACCCAGAACTTCTTACAGGGATTAACACCTCTCAGTTTGTTTGTTTGTTTGTTTGACCTCCTCCAAAATCCCTATACCTTTGCTCCTTATAATGATTTTTTCTGGTCTCTCTCTACTCTGCTTACAACTAATCTTATCTACTTTTCTCAGAACTACCTTCTACTAAACATGCTCAAATTTTTAAATAAGGGGGAAAAAAATGAAGGTGAAGGTCTCTATGCCCTACCTATTAGGGTCAAAGTGTCACTAAGCATGTGAACATCTTGATTTAAACAAAATGTACTGGTCAAAGACAGGAGTAAAAAGATAAGGAAAGATGTAGAAGATATGCCCCCTCAAAAAAAAAAGGCTTTCTGTAAATATGTCCATTTTTATACTCTATTTAGTACAACGAGTATGCTCCTACCTCTACCTTGCCTCTGTGTTCATGACCCACCCTACAAGACAGTAAGGCAAGCCTGTATCTTACAGAAAGGAGAGCCCATTCCTGAGCTTATTTGGAGTTTGAATAGATTTTCAAGAATCATGCCTCCAAAATGATCTGAGACCTATTTGTAAAAATATTACCAAATTCAAATGTGTTTCGTGTTATATTTTCCCCACTAAGACTGAGGGTGTTGAAAGGAGAGCAGTATAGGAAAGAATCTGTGAAGCATCTTGTCAGAAAGTGAGTTTTCCTGGGTCTAGTTTAGATGTGAGAACAAAACACACCTGCCCGTCCCACCTGGTCCTCTCTTCAGGTGGCCGGACAGCAGAAGAGGATTTCGGGGTCTGAAACTGGAGTGGGGGCCTAGCAAACAGGACTCTATAAAAAGGATGTTTTGCAGTGTGATTACAGTAATTCTGTATCAGCAGAAAAACTGAAAATGGTTACGTCTACGTTATTAAATGAGTAAAACAAATGCTAAGTGGATAGAATTAACTTTGTAGCTTTAGGTTTTCATGCTTCTACCAAGCCAGATCCTAAAACGGGCAGTATATGAAGACTTTTAGTTCGTGGCAGTCATGTTTTCAGCGATCAAAATCTCTAGTCTAGTTAGAATATAACTGTCAGTCTTATTGTGTTTTGTAGACTTTTTTTTTAAAGCAATAGTTTCTAGATCATCTACTTTGAACCCTCGATGAAATTTTCACAACTATTTTTTGCAATCTATGTTTATTTTTAAAAAGTAAACATTAAGATCCCCTTTCTGGTACTTTTCCTGCCTATTTGTAGCACAGAGATTTGAAGAGATCAGTATCGGTCATTGTAAAATATAACTTTATTAAATTTGCAATATGTCTTTATATAAATTATAATCCCCTAAATGTGTTTTTTGTTAATTACCTGAATATTTATTTGATTTAAGGAGGCAGCTGTCTAAGAAGTTTTTGTTAATATTACTTTGTAAATTGTGTAATGTAATTTATTTTAAATTATGTACATTTCTTTTTTAACGCACAAAATGTCTATGTACAATTAACTACAGATTTGAAAATAATGTCACTAAGCTTTATTCAGTTAATACAGATGGCATGTGAAGATGTAATATGCTTTTTTACATTTTCATATGGGTTATTTGTAAATAACTATGTTGCTGACAAACATAAACATGGAAATCATTTTCATTCTACTCATGTGTACTTTTTTAATTTGCATCATTTGCTGTTCATACATGGGTTTAAAAAAAATTATTTCAGTGAATATCCAAACACTTTTACTACTCTATTGCCTGTTCCTGAGCCTTTAAAAACAATTCCAATTGAGAAATTTCGAAAGATGCAAACCTTAACTTTAAAAGTCTGCTGAGGGGCGCCTGGGTGGCTCAGTCAGTTAAGCATCTGCCGTCAGCTCAGGTCATGATCCCAGGGTCCTGGGATCGAGTCCTGCATCGGGCTCCCTGCTCAGCGGAGAGCCTGCTTCTCACTCTGCCAGCTTGTGCTCTCTCTCCGTCAAATAAATAAATAAATAAAAATCTTAAAAAAAAAAAAAAAACTCTGCTGAGGCCACCACATTAATCATTATGGACAAATGACCTCTTAGTTTCCAGTCAAAAGAGAGCACCAGCAGAGGATAGTAAGACACTCTGGAACAGAGCCCTTCTTGCCCCCTCAGTCAGGGGGCAGGCCTCTCCCTGTCCCTTCTCCCTGTGCCTACCAATAAAAGACCAAACCGAAAAAACAAGGTAGGAGCTCACACTTAAGAAATTAAGATTCCCTCAATTCCCCTAAATTAAGATGCACACATTCACAAACTCTGAAAGGGATACACAAATTAGATAAGTTACTGCCAGTGTAGCTTGGAGTTAGAACATTTTCTGAAATAGTTGTTTGCTGAAATATAACTAAGCAGGGAACCCTTTAAACAGTGTATGAATCCTTCAAAACATGCAGCTAGCCACAAATGCTGGACAAAAAAAATCCATTCCATATTGTTCATTACAACTGAATCTAGATGAAAAAAATGTTTAAATGTATCACCCAAATTATTCCATATATATGTATATATATGTAGATATTCATAGTCAAATTACTAACTTCAGTTTTTATTTTACAACTCTAATTTATGTCCTGCAAACACAAATAGGGACATGACCGGTCTATATTCTAGATTTGCTTCTTCTGAGTATCTAGTGATTTCTGTCATGAAACTCTGAACATATTTCAAAGAAAAGCCAACACATACTTCAATGTACAGTTCTCATCAGCGTCAATTAGTCTCAAAAGAAAGGAGATACATACAAAATGTTTAAATGCAGTCATGCTTTCTAATATTTCAGGGGTTTGTTTTTTGTTTTTTCAGATGACTTCCCTTTTCCCTCTCTACCTTACTCCATAGCATCTCCCTGCCAAGGCAGCTCAATTTAACAATCTGATGTGTGCCCTGCCATATTTTTCTCCTTGATCATATGACCTTACAAACATGCTGGGGACAGGGAAGCGAGAGAGGAAAAGAGAAAAATGGGCTGAATTTAGTAGATACACCAGAAAATTGTTTCCTTTCTTGTGTATTGCTGTTTTCAAACAAGTAAAATGGCCTTTGCCCTTCTCCCAAACCTCGGCAACACCGAAGGCAAATCCCACAGCTTTTGGGTCACAATTTGAGTTTTGAAAAGTCCCAATCCCATAGAAAACACTAAAGACTCCACCAAAAAACTATTAGAAATAATAAATGAATTCAGTGAAGTTGCAGGATACAAAATATACAGAAATCAGTTATGTTTCTATACACAAAATAGAGAAATTAAGAAAATAATTCCATTTATAATTTCACCACAAAGAATAAAATACCTAAAAATAAACCAAGGAAGTGAAAAGACCTACGTTCTGAAAGCCAGAAAACATTGATAAAAGAAACTGAAGATGATACAAATAGATATTCAATAATCATGGGTTGGAAAAATTAATATTGATAAAATGTCCATACTACTCAAAGCAATCTACAGATTGCATGCAATCTCTATCAAAATACTGACAGCATCTTCCACAGAACTAGAACAAATAATCCTAAAATTTGTATGGAACCACAAAAGACCCCAAATAGCCCAAGCAATCTTGAGAAAGAAGAACAAAGTTGGAGGTATCACAATTCCAGGTTTCAAGATATACTACAAAGCTGTAGTAATCAAAATAATATGGTACTGGCACAAAAACAGATATGTAGATCAATGAAACAGAATAGAGAGCCCAGAAATAAACCCACACTTAAATGACCAATTAATCATAACAAAGGAGGCAAGAAGATACAATGGGCAAAAGACAGTCCCTTCAGTATATGGTATTCGGGAAAACTGGACAGGAAGGAAAGAAGGAAACTTGAGTTCATTTTACACCACACACAAAATAAAACTCAAAAGAGATTAAAGACCTAGATGTGAAACCTGAAACCATGAAACTCCTAAAAAATAGGCAGTAATTTCCTTGCATTGGCCTTAGAAACATTTTTCTAGATAGGTCTCCCGAGGCAAGGGAAACAAAAACAAAATTAAACTATTGAGACTATCCCAAAATAAAAAGCTTTTGCAAAGAGACGAAATTATCGGGGCGCCTGGGTGGCTCAGTTGGTTAAGCGACTGCTTTCGGCTCAGGTCATGATCCTGGAGTCCCGGGATCGAGTCCCGCATCCGGCTCCCTGCTCAGCAGGGAGCCTGCTTCTCCCTCTGACCCTCCCCCCTGTCATGTGCTCTCTCTCTCTCATTCTCTCTGTCTCAAATAAATAAATAATATCTTTAAAAAAAAAAAGAGACGAAATCATCAACAAAACAACAAGGTGACCTACTGAATGGGTAAAGATATTTGCAAATGTTATATTCAATAAGGGATTAATATTGAAAATACATAAATAACTTATACAACTCAACACCAAATAATAATAATATGATTTAAACAGAGGACCTGAATAGACATTTTTCCAAAGAATATATACAAATGGCCAAAACATGAAAAGATGCTCAACACAACTAATCAGGAAGATGCAAATCAAAACCACGATGAGATATCACCTTATACCTTCAGAATGGCCAGACTCAAAAAATAACAAGCGTTGGTGAGGAGGGGAGAAATAGGAACCCTCACACACTGTTGGTGGGAATATAAATTGGTGCAACCATGGTGATAAACAGTACAGAGATTCTTCAAAAATTAAAAATAGAAATACCATACAACCCAGTAATTCCACTACTGGGTATTTACCCAGAGGAAAGGGAAACACTAATTCGAAGAGACATATGCACCCCTATGTTTATTGTAGCATTATTTACAACAGCCAAGATATGGAAGCAACTCCTATCCATCAACAGATGAATGAATAAAGAAGGTGTGGTATATATACATGTACGATGGAATATTACTTATCTATAAAAAAAAAATGAGATCTTGCCATTTGCAAGAATAGGGATGGACCTAGAGGGTATTATGCTAAGTGAACTAAGTCAGAGAAAGACAAATATCATAGGGTATCACTTATACATGAAATCTAAAAAACAAAATAAACAGAAATTAGAAACAGACCAATAATACAGAGAACAAATTGGTGGTTGCCAGAGCGGGGGAGGATGGGGGAATGGGCAAAATGGATGAAGGGGAGTGGGAGGTATATGCTTCCAGTTATGGAATGAAAAAGTCACAGAGATAAAAGAAACCACATAGGGAATATAGTTAATGATGTTGCAATAGTGTTGTATAGGGACAAATGGTAGCTGCACTTGTGAGCATAGCATAATGTAGAGTTGTCAAATCACTAGGTCATACACCTGAAACTACTGTAACCCTGTATGTCAACAATGTCATTTTTTTTTTTAAGTCCCAATCAGGCTAAAATGAAATATCATGCTCTCTCATTGTTTCCATTTCCTTGACTACTAGCAAATTTGATCAACTTTTCATCTTCTCACAATGGATTCAGTCCTCTACTACATGTTATTTTTAAATGACAATTCTGGTGATGCCATGTGGTTAATTTTAGGCCATCAACAATTTTAACTTTTCAGGAAAGAAAACAGAGCTTTCTGGATTTTAATCCTCCATAGTTTTTTTGTTTTTGTTTTTGTTTTTGTTTTTAATCTCAGGCAGAGATGCTCTTACAATGGGCTCTGCCACCTCACTGCCCCCAGTTCTCTGCTATATCTTGAGCATGCTCACCTCCATCTCATGCTAACCCTCAAGGACACTATCACATGGAGGTGTTGAAGCCAGATCCCAATCTTCTGCTAAAACCACACACTTTTCTCAAACCTGTGCCCTTACTATTACTTCTACCTGGAACACTCTTTCCTTCAATATGGCCTGGCAACTCCCTCACTTTGCACAGGTCTCTGCTCAAATGCCACCTCCTCTAGGAAGCCTTCCTTGACTACTCTTGTCACTCTCTGTACTCCTACCCTTTAGTTTAAGATTTTATATTTATTTGAGAGAGCTAATGAGCATGAGCAGCTGAGGGGCAGAGGGAGAGGGAGAAGCAGACTCCCTGCTGAGCAGGGAGCCCCAGGCGAGGCTCTATCCCAGGACCCTGGGATCATGACCTGAGCAGAAGGCAGACACATAACCGACTGAGCCACCCAGGCATCCCTAGTTTTTTGTTTTGCTTGCTTGTTTGTTTTAGTGGCACCTGATATTACATATCTTTTTTAGTTTGTGGGGATTTTTTTTTTTTTTAATGCTTTCTCACACATGAGAGAGGCCAGGTCATTAACGGTTTTGTTCAGAAGGCACAATGTTGTGACATGGACAGAACCATAACAGAGCAGTGGAAGACATAAAAACAGTCCTGATTGAGCCTCACATCACAGGGGAGTGGCAGCTGAGAATGTAACAGTTATAAGAGGGAGCTGGGGATACTGGCAAATGAGAAAGGGAAGCTGAGTAAGAAAAGAGCAATTGCAAATTTCTAGAAAGCCTTTGTTCCAGGATATAAAAGCAGCCCATCTCTTTAGTCTTAAACTTATTACTTTATGGTATCAAAAACAGCCAAATGAAATGCTCTTTGCTTTAAAGCAGAAATAAACCAGAAAGAACGGTATGAAGTTACAATTCATAGTGCTTCCCAAATCCCCATAACTCACTTTGGAACAATAGAGGGCAACTTTTAGCAACCACGTAAATACATTAATAGATCATTTAAAATTCCTTACAGCAT